GCAGAAGAAGGGGAGACCATGGTGCGATCATTGCCGAAAAACAGGACACATCCGTGAGACATGTTGGAAGCTACATGGCAAACCTGCAGATTGGAAACCTTCAAGACTAGCTATGGACAAAGATAGCCGCAGAGTTGGAAGCTACATGGCAAACCTGCAGATTGGAAACCTTCAAGACCAGCTATGGACAAAGATAGCCGCAGAGATCATGTTGCAGTTGAAGAAGGAAATTCTACTTCCGCGGAATCCAATCCTTTCAACAAGGAACAGCTTGAAACCCTACAAAAGATGTTCTTACAAGCAGCAACTGCTCAGGGTAACATTGGAAACAGATCTTTGGCACAAAAAGGTAATTACTTGAGTGCTCTTTCTGTTGATTCCGAAAATAAGGACACGTGGATAGTAGACTCTGGGGCATCTGATCACATGACAGGAGACATAACTATGTTTCATCATTACAGACCATGTCAAGATAATCTTACAATAAAAATTGCTGATGGATCACTCGCTAAAGTGGCTGGAACAGGGTCTATTATTCTCTCAGAAACCCTAGAGTTGAAGACAATACTTCATGTTCCTAATCTGTACTGCAATCTTTTATCAGTGAGTAAACTCTCTCAAGAAATTAATTGTGTTGCTAAATTCTCCTCGGATTTGTGTGAATTTCAGGTTTTGGATTTGGGGAAGATGATTGGCAGTGCTAGGGTAAGCTCGGGACTTTATCTTCTCAAAGTAGACAGACCTCCTAGAAGACAAACTCATACCGTAGGCTTAGTATTTGTTGAAAACGCCAATAAAGATAGTGCAATCATGTTATGGCACTATCGTTTAGGTCATCCAAATTTTTTATGTATCGAAAAATTGTTTCCTTCTTTATTTATCAATAAAAATTCGAAGTTGTTTCAATGTGAAGTGTGCCAATTCTCAAAACATGTTCGTAATTCTTACCATATTCAGCCATACAAAGCATCTCATCCTTTTTCCATGATTCATAGTGATGTATGGGGGCCATCTAGAATAAAAAATATTACTGGTACAAGGTGGTTTGTGTCCTTTGTTGATGATCATACCAGAATCACCTGGTTGTTTCTCATGAAAGAAAAATCTGAAGTTAGGCAAATCTTTAAAAATTTCAATACTATGATTCAGATACAATTTGCCACAAAGATACAAGTGTTGAAGACTAACAAAGCAAAAGAATATTTTGAGACGACTCTAGGAGAATATCTTGGGAGCCAGGGCATTATTCACCAAAGTTCTTGTGTTGACACACCCCAACAGAACGGGGTGGCAGAAAGGAAAAACAGACACATTCTAAAGGTTGCCCGTTCTCTCATGTTCACTGCCCATGTCCCAAAATATTTCTGGGGAGAGGTTGTTTTAACAGCCAATTACCTACCTAATAAATAGAATGCCTTCCCGAGTCTTGAAGTTTCAAACACCACAGTGTGTCCTTCTTCAATTTTTTCCCAATACCCGTGTCCTAATCACTCTGCCTCCTAAAGTATTCGGTTGCTCAGTGTTTGTCCATAGTCATGCCCAACACCGAAACAAGCTTGATCTTAAGGCTCTCAAATGCATATTTTAGGATATTCGTCACACCAAAAAGGGTATAAATGTTATTCTCTGACTACTCGAAAATTCTACAACTCCATGGATGTCTCTTTCTTTGAAACTCAACCCTTCTATCCCAAAACTGATATTCAGGGGGAGAATTTTACTCAAGAATACCAACTTTGGGATATTGATGCATTAGAGTCACCTGATGGCTATAACACAAATCCACTCGAGTCATCCCAAGCATCCCAAACACAAATCGAGTTTGACACTCAAACTCCAAATCCAAGCCAGCCCGAGTATGACACTCAAGCCCCTCATAGTTCCACTCCAACTCAGCCTGCAGAATCTAAAGAGTTACGTGTCTATACTAGGAGGAATAAGACTCAAGAAGATAAAGCACTGCGGCCAACTCATCACGGCCATGAATCCAACCCGGGTATGGAATCGCAAAACCCACCAGGTAACACTAGTCTTGAAACTGCTCCTAATAATCAGCCTGATGAAGATATTGATGATAGACCCATAGCCTTGGGGAAAGGCACACGGTTATGTACTAATCACCCCATTTATAATTTTATTTCATATGGAAAATTGTCCTCCAATCATCGTGCCTTTGTTAGCAATCTGGACAGAATACAGGTTCCTAATTCTATACAGGAGGCTCTTCTTATACCACAATGGAAGGAGGCAATTTTGGAAGAAATCCGAGCCCTAGAGAAGAATGGAACGTGGGTGATGTCTGAATTACCATCAGGAAAACGTCCTGTAGGATGTAAGTGGATATTCACTATCAAGTATAATTCAGATGGGAGTGTCAACAGATATAAAGCTCGCCTGGTTGCTAAGGGTTTCACACAATCTTATGGGATTGATTACCAGGAGACATTTGCACCGGTAGCTAAACTTAACACTATTCGAGTACTACTCTCACTGGCATCTAACCTTGACTAGCCTCTCTATCAACTGGATGTGAAGAATGCATTCCTCAACGGGGATCTTGAAGAAGAAGTGTACATGGAAATTCCTCATGGACTTGAAACTCCGACTAATACCAATAAGGTATGTAAACTCAAGAAGTCCTTATATGGACTTAAGCAGTCACCTAGAGCATGGTTTGATAGGTTTACTAAGGCAGTAAAAAAGGTTGGGTACAATCAGTGCCAGACGGATCACACCATGTTTATTAAGCAATCACCATCAAAGAAGAAAGCAATACTTATCGTGTATGTCGATGACATCATCCTAACTGGGGATCATGATGAAGAAATTCTAAAACTCAAAAGCTTTCTAGCTAAGGAGTTTAAGATCAAAGATTTGGGCAATCTAAAATATTTCCTAGGAATGGAAGTAGCTCGATCCAAGAGAGGTATTGCGGTTTCTCAACGGAAGTATGTACTAGATCTCTTGAAAGAAACATGAATGCTAGGGTGTAAGCCTGCTGACACCCCTATGGACCCTACGGCAAAATTGGGAAGCACAGATGATAGTGCGTCTGTTGACAAAGGAAGATATCAAAGGTTAGTCGGAAACTTATTTATCTGTCCCATACCAGACCAGACATCAGTTTTGCTGTAAGTATGGTAAGCCAGTTCATGAACAATCCAACAGAAGAACATATGGAAGCGGTGTATAGGATTTTGAGATACTTGAAAATGACACCAGGACAGGGTCTGTACTTCCAGAAAACAGGAAATAGGGAAGTTAGAATATTTACTGATGCAGATTGGGCAGGGTCTGTAACTGATCGAAGATCAACCTCTGGATATTGTACTTATGTTTGGGGTAATTTAGTTACTTGGAGAAGCAAAAAACAGCATGTGGTGTCCCGAAGCTCAGCAGAGTCAGAATTTAGAGCCCTTGCACACGGAATCTGTGAGGGAATTTGGTTGAAACGAGTACTTTACGAGCTGGGAATCCCTATTCCAGGAACTATGAAGGTGTTATGTGATAATCAATCAGCTGTCAGTATAGCCAAGAATCCAGTACACCACGATAAAACCAAGCATGGGGAAATCGATCGACACTTCGTTAAAGAAAAGGTCGAGAACAACACCATATCACTCCATCATGTCCCTACAAGTCAGCAAACTGCAGACATCCTTATTAAAGCCTTGCCTAGGAAGACGTTCGAAGACCTTGTCTCCAAGCTAGGATTACTTAACATCTACAACCTAGCTTGAGGGGGAGTGTGGAAATTCGGTGTTTAACTTACTAGGGTTAAGTTAGTCTTTTGGTTTCTAAAAATAAAGAGATTCGGATAATGTCTTACTTGATCCTCTCATTTATTTTTCCTGTTTATTATCTTTACTAGGATTAGAGATATTGTTTTAGTTTATCAGTTCCTTGTTTTGAGGAATCGATTAGGGCATCTCCTCCAATTTAAACTTATTTTCGTTATTCATTATTCAATGAGAAATATTCTAGTTCTTTCTCAATTTCTCACAGAACTCGAAACATTTAATTCTGTGGCTCAAAGTGTTTCTATCTTATCTTTTCGTCTGGTGAAATGCTTTTGGTTTACACAATTAGCTGATAACTATTTATTGCAACTCCTTTTACAGGCTAAGGCTGCTAGTGTCCTGATTGACCTGTGTTGTAGCGTCCTAGCACCTTGGATGACTCGGGTGATTGCAAAGGTTCGTCCAAGGGAAATTCTTCTTGCATTAACTTCGTCTAGTAGGATTTTGTTAACCACTATTGGTTTTTCCAATCTATATTTGGCCCTGCTTGTTCAAATTCTCAGCTTTGTAGCTGACTTATGACAGGTTGATCTGGCTGTGGAGCTTCTGGAGGATCTTTTGGGTGTAATTCAGGTATAACTGCCGCTGATCTACAAGCAAAACAAATATCTTTATGGAATCGCATGGTGTTTTTGTTTCTGTCTCAACATTTCCGAAGCAACAAAATGAAACCAAATACATAGAAGTAGATCTTCCTTTTTTAAAGGGGGCAAAAAAAAACACACCATGAAACTTAGATTCTACATGTACCTATCGTTTAGAGTTCTAATGCCAGATTCTGTAGCTATATAACACAGGTTTTTACTTTTCTCAATAAAAGGGAATTCTGTAATTTCTTCACATTAGAACTTATCAGTCTCAGCTGTATTGTTGTGTAGTCTATTTCTTGCTGAAGCTCTCTCTCTCTCTCTGTTTTTTATTTTTATTTTTTACACTTTCGAAGACATATTATTTGTTCTTGCTACTAATGGTATGTGCTTCAGGGTGCTAAACATTCCCTGGCCCGTGCACGAGCTGCCTTAAAATATATTGTGCTGGCTATCTCCGGTCATATGGATGACATACTTGGAAAGTATAAGGTGCATTTCATGTTTGATTTTCTTATGGAAAAAATGAAAAAAGAGGAACATATTTAGTCTTTTCTTTCGAGTTTGGTGCATTTATCGAAATGTTTTGGCAACAAAACCATATTTATCTGGTTGCAAAACATTGTTGTATTGCGTGATAGCCTTGATTATATCTCATATTTTGTTCCATTCTTAACCCCCTAACGACTTGATTTTCTTCGTACTGGTAAATACAACACTTGTATGCGATATTGCAGAACAGCGCTGTTAGTTTTAATATTTTGTGTTTATTTCAGGAAGTTAAGCACAAAATTATCTTTCTTGTGGAGATGTTAGAGCCCTTTATTGATCCCGCCATTGCTTCATTTAAGAGCACAATAGCATTTGGAGATCTATCTCCTGCTTATCCTGAAAAGCAGGAAAGCAATTGTGCGATTGCTCTCAATGTGATTCGTACAGCAGTACACAAACCAGCAGTTTTACCCTCTCTGGAATCGGAGTGGAGGCGTGGCTCGTTTGCTTCTAGGTAATTGTTTTTTTTTTCCTTGCAAAATTTTTTATCAGAACTTTTTTCTATAGACACGTAACTTGCTTGAGCTCTTAGTTTGTGTGACTTAACATCAAAAATAAATTTTTATAATGAAAAAAAAAATGTTCTTCTCAAATGTGTACACTCATTAACCATCAGTCAATGACAACCCTTGTATAATGAACTCTATGGCCGTTTTGTGATGCTGAAGCTATTGTGAATGTCTTAAATATTAGACAGAAAAACGGATCATAGCTGAAGTTTGCTTTGTCTGACTGTAAAAGTGAATTATGGTCTCTCTCTCTCTCTATATATATAGATTTATGTGTGTATGTGTATATGTATATAGTTTTGCACAAGACATAAGTGAAAGTCTATGGGACTCATTATGAGGTTTATTTCTTATTGCAGTGTCCTTCTTGCAATACTGGAACCTCACATGCAATTACCACCTGAAATTGACCTTCGCACTTATTCGGTTTCCAAACCATTAGAACTTGAAAGTGGTTTATGCCATGGGATTAGTTCTGTAAAATCAAACAGCCAGGAAGAACTTGATGGAAAGACAGATGTTCCAGATACCACCATAAAGACAGATATTTTTGAAGATGTGGGTCTTCTTTTTGCTCCACCAGAACTACGAAGCATGACACTAACAAATATTTGCAATGATTTAAATGAGTATAGCCCTGGGATGATTAGCTCAGATCCAAAGGCACTGGTTGAGAAATTCTTTCCCAAGAATTTTCATGTTGACTTGGTATTAGATACTGGCTTCACTGCTGAGTACTTCAACTTACAAGCAGATTACTTTCGACTTGTAAATTATCAAGATTGTGAGCTTAAGTCTTCTGAGTTTCGGCGTTTAGCTGTAGATTTGCACTCACAGGACGAGATTACGGTGGAGGGTCATGATGCAGCAATAGATGCTTTGCTCTTGGCTGCAGAATGCTATGTCAACCCCTTTTTTATGATAGCTTTCAAGACCAATCCAAAATTAACAAACTATGCCAACATCAAGGAGATAAAGGCTCTAAAAGAACATGATTTTGATTTGAAAAAGGTCTCTGGAAAGTGCAGAAGTGACTTAGAAACAATAGCTTTTCTTGAAAAGAAAAGAGACAAAGTTGTCCTGCAAATTCTGCTTGAGGCTGCTGAATTAGACCGAAAATACGAGGAAAATGTGTCAGATGGTGAACATGGTTCATGCTATGTTGGAATATATGGTCAACCAATCATCAAGTTGTCTCCTCTTGATGTACAATCCATGGATGCCATCACCTTAGTTCGACAAAATCAAGCTTTGTTATGTACCTTTTTAATGAAAAGGTTGCAGAGAGAACGCCAGTCATTGCAAGAAATTCTTATACAAAGTCTTGTGTTTTTGTTGCACTCGGCTACTGAGCTATACTGCAGTCCAGAACATGTGATCGATGTTGTATTACAATCTGCTGAGTACTTAAATGGGATGTTGACTTCCCTATATCATCAGTTCAAAGAAGGCAATCTTCACTTAGAGCCAGAAACAATACATGGGATACAGCGTCGATGGATACTGCTTCAGAGACTGGTAATCGCTTCCAGCAGTTGTGATGAAGGGACAGAGTTTGCTATCAACAAGAACAATGGTTTCAATTATACAAAATTGATTCCACCTTCAGCTTGGACGAATAGAATTTCTTCATTTTCTAGATGTAAATCGCCTCTAGTTCGGTTCCTTGGTTGGATGGCAGTATCTCGCAATGCAAGGCAGTACGTAAAGGACCGAGTTTTCCTTGCTTCTGATATGCAACAGCTGACGTATTTGCTATCCATATTTGCAGATGAGCTTGCTGTAGTGGATAATGTTATCAACCGAGGACATGAAGATGCAAATTTGGAAAAATCAGGTGGGAAGCATGTTTTCCCAGCACATGAAGGACATGAAGTTGCTGGTCATCAACATGAAAGCCAATCTTTTCACTCTTTTCATGTTTTTTATCCCGATCTCTATAAGTTCTTTCCTAACATGAAAAAGCAGTTTGGAGATTTTGGGGAAACCATTTTGGAGGCTGTTGGCTTGCAGTTGAGATCCCTTCCTTCCACTCTCGTGCCAGACATTTTGTGTTGGCTCTCTGAGTTGTGTTCCTGGCCATTTTATCACATGGACCAAATAGCTTCTCAAAATAGTTCTTCTGATTATTTGAAAGGTTATGTTGCTAAGAATGCTAAGGTTGTGATCCTGTATGTTTTAGAAGCCATCATAACTGAGCACATGGAAGCTATGGTGCCTGAGACTCCTAGAGTCGTACAACTGCTACTATCCCTTTGTAGATCATCATACTGTGATGTTTCATTTCTTGATTCTGTATTGCGTTTGTTGAAGCCTATCATTTCATATTCCTTAAGTAAGGTGTCTGATGAGGAAAGATTATCACATGACGACTTGTGTCTTAATTTTGAGTCATTGTGCTTTGATGAGCTTTTCCATCACATTAGACCCAGCGAGAATCAGGACAAGGCTAATAAAGAATTATATGGTAGAGGGCTGACAATTTTTATTTTGGCTTCCGTCTTTCCTTATTTGTCTGTTCAGCGTAGAAAGGAGATGTTGCAGTCTTTATTGTCATGGACTGACTTTATCGCATTTGAACCAACAACTTCTTTCTATGACTACCTTTGTGCATTCCAGAATGTTATAGAAAGTTGTAAAGTCTTATTAGTTAAGAATTTACAATTATTTGGTGCTATTCCACTCCAGCCATCCACTGCTAGACATTCAGATAACTCCTTAGAGTCACATTCATGGTTTCCTAGTGATGTCTACCACTCGCCAGAAAAGGTCCCCGATAAGCTAGAGAAAAACAGCGATGCTGCTGCTAATGTAAATCAGAAAATTCACCATTTAGCCACCGAAGAAATAGAGGAATTTTCTAAAGACTTGGAGATTCTCATTACCAAGCTTAATCCAGCAACTGAGTTGTGTTGGAATCTTCATCATCAACTGGCTAAGAAGCTTACTGTTACATTGGCAGAATGTTTTATGTACTCAAGATGTTTGTCTTCAATTGCACAAAAAGTTGAGAATGCTCAAGACAATGACAGCGAAACATCTAGTGTATCCAAGCCAGTTGACCAATTCCTCCTTCACTGGAGGCTTGGTCTTGAAGGAATTTCTGAAACAATTCTGACTCTTCAAGAAAAGGGTTGCTGGGAAGTTGCGTCTGTGATGCTTGATTGTCTACTAGGAGTGCCTTCTTGTTTTGGGCTGGGCAATGTTGTTGGTTTTGTTTGTTCTGCAATAAAAAATAATTCATGCAGTGCACCAAAAATTGCTTGGCGTTTGCGAACAGAAAAATGGTTATCAATTTTACTTGGTAGAGACATCCATGTGCTTAATGAATGTGAAGATTCTCTGGCTGATCTGTTTTGTACACTGCTAGGTCATCTTGAGCCTGAGCAACGATTTATTGCACTTAAGCTATTAGGAAAACTTGTTGGCCAAGAGATGGATGGAAGAACTAACCTACAAGAGTTTAGTGTTTGCAGTAATTTGTTTTCACCTGGCTTAGCTGAATCCATTCCTGAGTCTGTCATTTCTCATTTGGTATCAAGTACATGGGATCTTGTTGTCGTGATGGCGTCATCTGATGTATCTTTGCATCTGAGAAGCTGCGCGATGGCTCTTCTTATACATTATGTCCCATTTGCTCAAAGGCACCAATTACAATCTTTCCTGGCAGCAGCTGATATTCATGGTCTGGGAAAGCTTGGTCAGCCAACTTGTGAAGGCCCCTTGCTGCGACTTTCGTTGGCACTCATTGCTGGAGCTTGCCTGTACAGTTCTCCTGAGGATATTTCCTTGATTCCTCAAAATGTTTGGAGAAATATTGAGACTTTAGGATTTTCAAAATCTGGTATAGTACACGTATTATTTATGTCTCTGTGTGGAATTTGATGATATTTTCGTAAACTTATTTATCTCATCATTTCTTTTGTAGAAAGCAGGATTGGCGATCTTGAGAAAAGGACTTGCCAAATCATGTGTAGATTGAAAAATTACGAGGACGAGGCTAAAGAGGTATGTAGTAGGTTGAGGCTTAAGCTCTGCTTTATTATACTGCTTGTAAAAGTTAATATGTTATTTCAATTTCTTTTTTAAAGTTATATTTAAGTAGAATGATTTATTTTACTTCTTACTGCTGTTAATTCAGTGAATAATATTGCATGTTAGGCTCTGAAAGAAGTACTGTCTGCAAGTTCTTCAAAACAATCCAATCCAGATTTTGTGACTACACGTGAAACAATTCTCCAGGTAGGGAAGGTCGTAAAGTTCATTATTGAAATTCAGTGGGTATATGCTTGTAAATTCTCTCTCTCTCTCTCTCTCTCTCTCTCTCTCTCTCTCTCTCTCTGTGTAATAATTATAAATTTTCCTTATCTAGGTTTTACAGTATTTAACATAACTGAAGCTATCTAGGAGGTGACTTTTTTCCATTTTAGATATAGTTGACCTCTCTTTTTCTTTTAGAGGGTCTGATAAGATTTCTAGGTAGGAAAGTTGGTTTTAGTGTTCATTTTTGGTTATATTTAAGGATACAGTACAAGAATGTGACCTCGCTGAGACCTGGCCTAAACCCTAGACCTTAGAATTGATTGCAATAGATCATTAAGAATTAATTGTAATAAACTGTGCATCAATAAAAGCAGTGTTACTTTGCAGTCAGTTTATTGTGGCACTGCTTTTGTCTTTTCCTTGACTTTTTTTTTTTTTTTGGCTTCCATATCTTTGTTAATTCACTTTCAGAAGGCATCTATGTCAGTTGATGTATTATCAAGTTTTTATCGAATATGCCTGCAAAATGAAATATTAGCCATATTTTCTAGTGTTTTAGCAGATAGTTCTACTTGGTGATAATATGATTTAGGAGGTGGAAAACGTCTTCTACTTCATTTGTTCATGATGTAATGATATAGAAGAATAAGAAAGACAAGGGAGCTTATACATGTTGCCTGTAAGGCCCCATTGTGTGCACCAGATTTCTACAGCAGTATATAATGTTTACCTTGTTCTAGTTTGTGCATTGTGCACTGTACATGGGGGAAAAAATATACTGCAGGCTTGATGGATATTTTATGAACTTTTTTCTTAAACATGCATCATAGAGGGGTATAAGATAGCAAGTGAGCTTACAGTAATAAGCTGTATCTTGTTCACTGGATTTTAATATGTGGTTTGTGATGGCTTCTAATTAAATAACGTTTAATAGGTGATTACCAATTTAACTTCTGTCAAGTCGTACTTTGATTTCTTCTCGGAAAAAGAAGATCGAGAAGCCATGGTAAGTTGGGCTATGACTGATATCAATATCATTCCAAGCTACTCCTTGTGTTACTTGAATTATAAATATAAATATTGCAGGAACTGGAGGAGGCTGAAATTGAATTGGACATTCTTCAAAAAGATCATGCTCCAGAACAATCACTTGAAGATTCCAAAGGGCACCGGACTCCTTCACTAGATTGTAAATTATGTTGTCCTTAGCTCAGATTTATCTCTGTTGCTGTTTGAGGACTTTGGTACCTTTTAAGTTTTAACATTTATTACTTGACACTTTTTCTGGGTTCATCTAATTTGTTACTATGTTTTCCAGCTCCTATGAAAGATGATTCACGCCTTAAGCAAATCAAGGAGTCTATTCGTTCCCTGTATGTACTATTTTTTCTTACTCTTGGTTTTTATTTTTAATTTTTTTAGGGGAAGGAACTTATTTTCCTGGTCAATAGTTCCTGTTAGCTGGTTAGTCTTCTGTTCCGACGGCAGGAAATTTGTACTCTTAAGCAATTTTATTTTGACTTTGTGGCTTAGCTTCTAGGCTCTAGCAGAGTACCATTTCTTCCTCTAGATCTTGTGTAGACAAGCATCAAGGTACTTTAACTGGCAAGAGGTAGACGGGTTGAATGGCATGCTTTAAGGCTTAAGCTATAGGGATGGGGTTCGGGGAAGGGGAAACCTTCCCCCCCGCCTCAGAAAACTCTCACAATGAGCACCTGCTGACCTTGAGGTGGTTCTTCTAAATTCTTTATGATCTAATGATGTTTAACGGGAAATGAAGGTCGACTCTAGGGTAGTTTGAAAAAAGAAACGGAAAAACAACTAAAATCCTAATTTTCATTGCTAACCTTTGCAAGAACTTGAACTAGTTTTCTTTTTAATCCTAATTATTTTTAGGAAAATCTCAATATGTGCTCTCTTATAAGCTCTATTTAAAATTGTATGGTCTTGTTTTCCTATTAGAGAAAAGAGCAAACTTCGAGAAGATATAGCAACCCGCAGGCAAAGTAAACTTCTTATGAGACATACCCGTCAGAAATATTTAGAAGAGGCAGCTGTACGAGAAGCAGAGCTTTTACAAGAGCTTGATAGGTTTGACTTTTGCCTCCTGTATTCTTCAACTGCAACCGTGATTTGATGAATATTTTTCAGTACTACAACTATCATCTAACCTTTCATCTGTCAGGGAGAGAACAACTGAAGCTGAAAAGGAGATTGAGAGACAGCGATTGTTAGAACTGGAGCGTACAAAAACCAGGGAACTGCGGTACAATCTTGATATGGAAAAGGAGAAGCAAACACAGGTATAACTAAATCCTTGTGAAATCTATCTGTGTAGCTACAAATATTTGAAGAACAAGAGGTCATGCATGCAGCGTTAATTATTTGTGAATAACGGCTATGCAATTTAAAATGTATAAAAAATGGAGAATAGAACGATACTTTTTGAGGGAGATTAACATACATATCGTGCATAAACTTTTGTAAAGATAAGAATGCCACGTTGTATTTATTTGCTTAGTTCAAATAGTTTGGTATTTTTTTTTTCTTTTTTTCTTTTTCAAATTTCTTCTTTGTCCAACCAATTGCCACTTAGGCCATTAGGAAATATCATTATCATATTTCTTGGTAGAATAAGGGGTAAGATTATGCTTGTCATCTAGTATTATATAAAATTTTATTTCATTCTGAAGAATTCAGGCACTTCTCCTTTTCTCTTTATATAAGTTTTGAAGCTGAGAAGTATACTGGGAGCATTCCTGGTCTGCTCTTTTCTGTAGACTCTGGTTCCTCTCTCTCTTCTGAATTACAAAATAAGATTGGTGAGGAAGTATGTTGTTTATCCAGTTTTGCTGGGACCAGGTTATTTGCTTAATGAAGGAGAGCAGTAATATGATTTCAATTCAATTCTGGAAACCTATTGAAACATGGGAACAGAATTAAGGGATCATATTGATGTGACTGTTTTTAGAAAATGACATGTGACTGGTCTAGTCAGATATAAGCTAGAAGTAATAAATTAGAAATAATTTCTTGTGTCTGTAATATCTCAACTTTTGCAGAGAGAACTTCAGCGTGAGTTGGAGCAGGCTGAATCAGGACTTCGGCCATCTCGGCGCGAGTTTTCTTCCTCCTCCCATAGTAGGTAAGTCTCTCTCTCTCTCTCTCTCTGTTGAAACTTCACATTTTCTGCAGCTTCTTTCAGCTGGTGAAAATTTGCTGTACAGCCACAAATTAATGTCTCTTAGTAATAATATTGCTGCCTCCCTGGGAGGCGGTAGAAGAGCCTTTGTGGTCGTAGAAGACATACCGTTAGCTTTAGGATCTGCTAATCTGCTCAATGCTGAAACCTAGGGTATCAGTTTCCTGAAGTTCTATAGCGTGTAAACACTTACTGTAACATACAAGTTGATGTGGGCTCTTGGTTCTTTATAATTGATACATCAATCATATGGTTGGGGACAGACTGAAGTTCTTTAGCTAGTAATCCAGCAATATTGCAGATCAGAATTAGAGAGCACCTAAATGTCCTTCAGAGAGAGTGATGCTATATGATCATGAAGAATGGACACGAAAATACCAATACAGAGACTTCAATTTTCTGTTCATTGCAGATCAGAATTAGAGAGCACCTAAATGTCCTTCAGAGAGAGTGATGCTATATGATCATGAAGAATGGACACGAAAATACCAATACAGAGACTTCAATTTTCTGTTCTCTTTTTTTTTTTTTTTTTTTTTTTTTTTTTTTTTTTTTTTTTTTTTTTTTTTTTGAAAAAAAAGGATATAGGAGAAAGTAACATTTTGGGTACAAGCATAAAAGATTACAATGTTAGCAAGTTAAACAAACATGCATGCATCTCATATTTATTGGTTTGAATTGAGCATCACTGGTGTGTTCTTACCATGACGTTCATGATCCTACATTTATGTTGTATGCAACACAAAGGTTATTATGAATTAAAACGATATATTCGATTCCTTTTCACATTTTCTATAGATTGAAAAAGTTACCTGTTTCAGCTTCGTTTTTGGGCCCTTGTTGCTGTTTTGGCCTTTTTCTCTATCTTTCTCTGTTCCCCCCCCACCCATTTTTCAGGATCTGTCATCCCCTTTTACCTTTTTATTGATTTAATCTTGTTATCAATAAGTGTTTCTTGTTTATTATTAAAAATAATAATAGATTGAAAAAGTACCAGGTTCTCTGTTACGTGTTTGGAAATTATGTACTGCGCTGATTTTCTCTCTACAACTATTTGGGCTACTTTAGATAATAGTAACTGTAGATGCAAATTTTGATAGCCCCTATCCCTGAAGGGATTGGATTCTAAATGATTTCTCTCTGCGTTTAGCAACCCGTCTGCATTTTTGAGGATGATTTAAGATGTCAATAGGATCCTAGTTCGTAACACCAGAATTACCTTTATTTTGGGTTCTCTATTTGTGATTCTGGATGCTCCTTTCAGGCTATTTTTTATTTGTTCAAATCAAACTTAATGATTTACGGTTGTCAGATTTTACTTTGCTTCATATGAAGTGATTTGCTGCATGTAAGTGGGCCTTGAGATCTTCTGCTCTTCACTTGCAGCAGGCCCCGGGAAAGGTATCGTGAAAGGGAAAATGGAAGATCCGGAAATGAGGGGAGCACAAGAGGAAGTACAGGTAGCTTGCAGCTTGAAACTTCTACTAGTTCTTCCATGGTAACCATGCCAACTGTTGTGCTGTCGGGGTCCCGACCATTTTCCGGCCAGCTTCCTACGATTTTGCAATCACGTGATCGTCAAGATGAGTGTGGCAGCGGTTATGAAGAGAATGTAGATGGAAGCAAGGACTCCGGTGACACAGGTAGTGTTGGGGATCCGGACTTGGCTTCAGCATTTGACGGACAGGGTGGTGGATTTGGATCATCTCAGAGGCATGGACCCCGGGGGAGCAAGTCTAGGCAGGTCGTGGAACGGAGAGAACGAGACAGACGCGAAGGGAAGTGGGAAAGGAAGCATTTATAAGGTGAATGCCCGGAGCTGTATACTAGGTTAGTGTAGTGTAGTGTACTGCGTATACTTGTATGTGCAAGGAAAGAATCAAAGGAGATACGACCGGATATGTTTTTCCTGAAGAATGATTGTGGTGGAAAGTAGGACTGTAATTAGCGATTATAAAAGAAAAACAGATACGTTTCTTGTCAGGTTCACTTTGTGATGTGCCTGCATTTGCGCATATATCCCAGAAAGAAGATTTTCATCTTGTTGTCAACATGATGATCCCATTCGAAAAATATTTTAGTGATTTGGGGTTAGGCGCCGAGAATTAAAATTAAACAGGTAGTTTTTGGACATATTAGAACATGCATCTTACTAGTTACTATGCATAGAAGTGCCAATGTTGAATTGGGCTTCGTTTGCTTCGCGGATTCGAGTTTTCGAGTTGAGATGTGATATTTTCTGATAGTTTTTTATTGTAGCAGAAAAAGTTAGATGTGACATTTTCTGAGAAATTTTTACTGTAGAAACTTAAAATTGAAAATTCGAATCGGTAAAATTAACGATAAAGTGCTTTCTTCTCGAACGTGTGCCTACTTAAAGCAACTGCAATCTCAACTATTATTTTTCTCATAAATACTATTTATCTAATTTGAATGATCAAGAGACCTACTTTGATAGTTTGACTGAGGGAGTACATGCATGATGTTTTACTTGTTTGTACGTATTCAATTAGAACCGAGACTTTTATTAAAAGTGCATTTGGTCCATCTGGTTTTTCGTTTATTTTAAAATTTTATATTTTCACGTGTGCTTTATTTATTTATTTTTTTTCCTATTTGCTCCTGTTGAAATAACTTTTCTCAAATATACCTATATTTATGTATTTCTCTTATAGTCACCAAAAATAATAGTGTTACAGATGTTGCAATCATAAATACTCTTATTTTCGTGAATTCCCGCTAGAACAATTTTTCTCAAATATCTCTACCTAAATTTCTTTTTCTTCATCCTTTTAAATTATATTTTCCCATATGTTCTTTCGAACTAATTTACTGTCTACTTTATTTTACTAAAATCATTTTTGTTCCTAAAATGTTTTCTACTTAAACATTTGGGTTTTCTGCACATTTATGTCCTAAACTTTTTGAAATTTGATAACTTACCTCTCAAATTTCTGATTTTCACAATTTACCTTTTCAACTTCATAAACTGTTCCCATCCATCATCCCATGTGCTCCATTTTGCTAAACTTACCGTTTAAATTGGTGACGGAAAGCACGTGTACTTTATATGAGGTTAGAAAGTCTTACGTTTGATAAAACATTTTCAAATCTAATTCAAACCCTAAAGCTAATATGACAAATTCAAAATCTTAATTTAACCAAATTTAACGTAATGCGGAACATTGTAACAATTTAAAAAGCTTGATGGATAAATTGTCAAAATTTGCGTTTAGTTAATGGATTCGTGTCATAATTCGAATCGTAGTTTCGTTACAATATTTTTTCTTATAAAAAACACACATAATAATAAATAAAAAAATCACTATATTAAAGAAATTAACAAATTAATATATGCACGTGCTTAAATGCTTAAAACTGGTATAAATGTTAACTTCAATTCCCCAGTCCCACCTTCAAAGTTTTTTTTTAAAATAATAATAATAATAATAAGAATAATAAAAGAAAATCCCCATCTTCCTCATATTCACTCCTCTTCTTCCTCACTCCTCAGTCCTAACTGAAACCTTAGAAATCCGAGTCCCACCCTACGCCGTCACAGAAAAGACTGTCCGGACTAGATCTGCTCCGCCACTCCATCTTCTCCAGTTCTTCTTCCACCATTATTAGGTATCTACTCGTTCTGGAAATGTATTTACATGTCTTTTTTAGTTTCCAAACGTTATTATGATTGCTTTAGTACTGTAATACTTGGGAAGAATCAAGAGCTCTGTTTGAATTCTCCATATTCATTATGATATGGAGAATTCAAAGATGTGTCTTCTTAAATAACAGATGCAATCTTTTATCTTAAAGAAAAAAGAGTAAGCGAAAATTTAAAATAAAAAAAAATTAGGAGCCAAATTGTGTTTATGTCGAGATTAATAGCGCCAAAAAACATGGTATATCTACATTTATAAAAATTTCCGTACTTAATTTCAGCGTTTTAAACAAGAGATTGAGGAGATCAGAAGTTGAGAATCAGATTGAGGAAGTGTTTGATTTGATTTCTGGAATTGGGGGGAAATGGCAACAACCCTAAGAAGCTTGAAGATAAAGACGGGTACTTGCAAACGCATCGTCAAAGAGCTTCATTACTACGAGAAAGAGGTTGAGACTGAAGCTGCCAAGACTGCCAAGATGAAGGACAATGGCGCCGATCCTTACGAACTCAAGCAACAGGTTTTCCCTTTCCCCATTTCAATTTTTTATGTTTTCTTCTAGGGTTTCTAATTCTGAATATCTAGCAGAAGAAAGAAGTCCGTGATTTTGTTTTGGTTTATTTATTGGATAATTGAAAATTAGGGCTTTGCAGAGTAGAATAATCTGTGAGAAAAACTTTTACAGAATTTGATTCCTGAACTGAAGAATACTGTGATCTTATTGTTAAAAAGAAATGTGTCAAAACAAGACATAAAGGTATCATTACAAGCGCTCCAATTGCTGGTAATTAAAGCGCAAAAACGAAAGCGATAAGAAAATCTTGTGATTTGTAGGAGAGAATTTGTGTATTTTACTAAATTTGAAATATTAAGTAAAAAGGAACGAGAAATTCTTTATTTCGAAATGTTTTGGTTTATGAGATGAATCTGTACAAGTGAGAATTGCTATATCTCCATGTGAATTATTATGTAATTGATCATCATTATTGAATTTGTTATTGGTTGTTTGGGGAACAGGAAAATGTGTTGGCTGAATCAAGGATGATGATCCCAGATTGCCGAAAGCGGCTGGAGGTGGCCGTAGCTGACCTGAAAGCTACTTTAGTTGAATTGGAGGAGGTAAATCAGAAGGAAGGTCCTGAATTTCATGAAGCTAGAACCATTGTGTCCGAAGTTGAGAACTTGTTTACCACAAGTTCAACTTCAGAACCAGAAGCCTCGTGATCTGATTAATCAGTGTCCCTTTAGAGAGAAGAGTATCTATGTTAAGATTTTAGATATGGGTCTTCTTTAACTCTTCTTTTTTGTTTTACTTGAGACAGGATTGCATTATCCATTCTCCTATTTGGCTTTTGGTTTGTTGTGTTCTAAAATTTTACCCCCTTTTGAGTTTGGATAAGAGATTTATCTTATTATGTATTACTAATTGTTTCGGATTGAGGCATTGAGCTTTTCGCCCTTTTGCATGAAGTTCTGGTTCCTTTATGTATGTGGGCAAAAGCACAAAACAGCCTGCTCATAGAGTGGGAAGGAAAATTATCTTCTTTCTGATTTTAGGCATGTTTTTGGACTCGGGTTCTAGGGCTCTGCAAGTGAACCACACTGATACAAAAGGAGTGGGTCCTACTGTTAGAACCCACCTGTTAAAGCTAGAATTACCTTGTGGAGTTGTAAGCTTTTTCATTTTTCTAATAAGATAAAAGTCTGAGAAGCGAGCGACCGGTGTTAACATATTTCTTACAGGTTATCAAAGGGCTTCTTAGACACTAACAGCAATGTTGGCTAAAAGTTCTATGGTCAGGCACTACCCGGCTACCCCTCAACAAGAAACGTGTCACCCCAATCTCACTGAAGGCTGAAAGGCATTAACATTCACATTGAAAACTCTCGAATAAGACTGCCCAACATTCGAACCTTTGACCACTAATCTATCTAAGTAGTCCGTCACTGCTATCAATGGCAATATAAGCCTTTTCATTTCAATTGCTAATGCTATCCCTACTTTTCTCTTTCATTATTTATTTATTTATTTATTTATTTTTCACACGCATGAGGTAAAAGGGACATCAAATGAAAACCAAACTCAATTTTGGATTCAGTTACTTTGTCACTGACCGGTGAGGGTGTTGATGAACCATTTGTCTGAAGAACGATGAACTTTTGTTTGGGAAAAGAAGTTTGACATTAAGAGTATTACCAGTCCAGTGGGATCTCCCAGCCTATATGGTGTGTAAACTAGTTTTTTACATTCACTACCAATAACTGCGAACACATTAGCAAATTCTACTCTTTGTAATGTCATCTGAAATGAGAATCCAAACTGCTATACTAACATGAATGCATTTAACATGTTCTACAGAAAATCACAATTGAGTTCCTCCTGTACTATACACAATCCCAGATGTCACAGCAATTAAAAAGACAGTAGAGTTATGTATTCATGGCACTCTTTTCTTTTCATAAAGAATGACAAGACCCCTTCTTCATCTTCCGGCGGAAAGGCCGACACGCCTCAATGCTGAGATCCACAGCAGCTGCAAGAGCCATGAAGATGGCTGCATCCTCGACGCACGTCACATGGCGCATGGCAAGTTGTACCAATGGCTTGCTGCTCTTCCCCTCACCTTGCACCCTACAGCTCATGACAAACCCGCCAACAACTGTACCCAGTGCTGCAAAGTCTCCGCTGCTCTGCGGGCTTGGGATTGGACTTGCTGCAGCAGCTGGCATCTGTCTGTCAGTGTCTATGAAAAACTCGCCTCCCTTTTCTGTATTTATGTAAATCTCAGACATGAGAAGCTCCCCTACTTCCTGACCTTCGGACATAAGGCGAAATCTGCAGCAAACAGAATCCCTTATGCCACGTTCACGCCACGCCTCGAGCTTTCCCCATGGCTGCCAGCTTTCTGCCCTGCAAACATCAGGCCGAACAATCAACCAAGCTCCCGGGTTGGACTTTGCTACCCAATCACAACCTGTTGATGGCACAAATGGAGTTGTCATGAAGGCTGCTGCAACAGCTGAGCCAGATAGATCATGTATCTTCACCTTCCATCCCTTCCGTTCTCGCCTTTCGGCCTCAAGGTCAGCATTATCAGTAGAACCAGACCAGTAATTGCACAAAGGGTCTACCTGGGGCACCCTGCTCATGCATTTAACTACCATAAATTTTACTTGTGACAATCAGATACACAAAATAAATACAGCAACCTTTCTAATTTTCTGACTAAAAAAACATAGTACAAATTGAAAAACGATTTTTCATGAATAAAAGATGCTTTTGGATGAAAACAATAACTTGATTTGTTGTTTCTAGTCCTAATAAGAACCTTGACAGACAAAAAGAAGAAGAAATGGGGTGTCATGTATCATAGTCTTCCAACACTGATTTAGGCTAACTGATGGCTTTAGTAACCCTTACTTATCCGATGAGAACTTAGAACTAGCATGAATATTTTGGACAAGTTTACAAATATACGTTTGCTTAAATCTTTCCCAATTTGGTTTATGCCTTGACATAATAAATTTTCATGTGTCAGCTGAAACTGGTAAAATGAAGTTAATTAGGTTATAGACTTCACAAACGTACTAAATATTAGATTGAAAAGTTTCAAAGAATGTATAACACCTGTCCCGGCTAAACTTGCAACTAAAAATACGCTGCTTGATGGAGCCTTGAAGCTGAAATATTTGAGGACTCAATCTGGTTACATCTTCAAATTGGAAAACATATCTAGGATCAGGATCCACTTTCACTCTCAAGTGAAGCTCTACACCCTGTTTTCCAGTCTCTTGCTTGTTTTTACCAATACCTATCCACCCATTGAAAAGAATCACCGGCTTCCCTTCACCCCACTCAGGACTGACCTCGAGCTTAAAAGTCCCAATTTGCTGCCTTTTAATACCAACACCACAATGGGAGGATTCCTTCTTCCCCGTGTAAACAGCGATTTCCAGGCAAGCATGAGTGCTATAGAAACAGCCAGGTGCAAGTAACGCTTTCAGATCGGAATCTTCAAGATAAAAACTTGAGGCAATACTATGAGAATCGGGTGTGGCTTCGGGAGAAGATAATAAGGGCACTGATGTTGTTTGCACGGGGAAACCTCGAAGACGAATTTCACATGAACATGGGGAAGAGAACGCATGAATCTCAGACTTTGTAGAGTTTAAAGCTGTCCCAGGAATTCTCAATCCTAGTGAGCCTATTGACAACCTAATAAAAGCCTGAGGATCCATCCTTGGTCAAAAATATTGCTCCATTGGATCGAAAGCTATATTCTTTGACAGGTCAAAAATCCTGTTCTATCACCACACAAGCAACGATTAGGTCAGAAACAAAAACTGGTGTTGAAAACTAGACAGTTGTGGGGAAAAGTCAAAAAACAAAGAAGACCATTGAACAAAGCAATATTGATAAAGATGACAATCTTAACAGCATTAGTATTTCCAAGTCCACTCACATGTATGACAGTTCCCTATGTACTCATAAACCCATACAAACCAATTTAATTTTTTCAAGGTTCTGGAGTTCCTTGACCATTTTCACCCAAGGATTACCCGTCAATCGACATGCTAATCAATATCCATAATTTAACAGGAAACTGCAATTATATTGTTGATATTATTACGCGGGTAGAAAAAAGATATACATGTGCTTTGCTGGTATATAGGCTATGTGATCCTTTCTGTAATTCCTCCAATTGTCAGAAACGCTCCGAGTATATACAGAACCAACCGGAGCAACATAGAAAGTGCAAGATGACACTTTTGTGGCTGGAGATGCCACGCTACACTTTGTACAACAACTTAACAGATTGACTACAAATTGTATAGTCATTTAATAAAAGGTGGACCCAGTGCTAAAGAGGCTCCCGTACTATGATAGGTTCGGAGAAAAGCTCAATCCCATATGTACACGGCCTTACCCCCCCGAAGGAGAAGCCGTTTCCGGGATTCGAACCCTGGACTCCGGGTGCAGACGCAAGCACTCTCACCACGAAAAGAGGCTCCCGTACTATGATAGGTTCGGAGAAAAGCTCAATCCCATATATACACGGCCTTACCCCCCCGAAGGAGAAGCCGTTTCCGGGATTCGAACCCTGGACTCCAGGTGCAGACGCAAGCACTCTCACCACGGTGCCGAGGCCCGCCTTCTGTATAGTCATTTAATATATACATACACAGGATTATGCTTCATTTTTTGTGTATAGTCATTTAATATATACAAAAAATGAAGCATAATCCTGTGTATGTTGATAACACTTGCGTGCGAAAGTAGCGAGACCTTAAATTATGTCTCGACCTTGTGATTTCAATCCAGCTTTCATGCATTGAAAAGAATGAATCTAAATAAGTCAACCTAAAATATTGCATCATGCTTTACTCAGTGCTTTTTTTTTTTTTTTTTGAAGTGATCAAGACAAAAGAATACGCCTAAAGCTGCTGAAGAAAGGAATCCGCTCTTAATCTTTTGATTCTATTTCACCTCTTTCAATCCCCTCTGCCATCAGATCAAAAAAAAAAAAAAAATCCCCTCTGCCATTTTCCAGAAAGGACCAAATTGAACCTTTTTTTTTTTTATAATTAGCCGAAAATTTTGGTGAAGTGCAGGGTTGAAATTTTGAAACCTATCCAGTGCAAAATGCCCTCATCATTAAATTCAAGACACTATCCAGTGCTTAAACAAGTATAGTTATAAAAATTGCAATATAATTTGTTTCCTGTAAGTAATCCAATATACTTTTATATATATATATATAGTATATTAAATCCCAAGTCAACAATAAGCTCCTACTTGGAAGGAAGATGAATGTTTCACAGGCCTTGTGAATTGTAAAGCTTCAACCGAGCTGATCAAACCAGTTATGACCAACAAAATGAAGTTTCTAGACAAATTTGAACACGAAAACATAAAATTCTGAAATTAGAGAATTTTTTGCCACATCTTCTTAATTGGTTATATTTCAATAAACAGAAATACAAAACGTACTTACAAGATGAAGAATTAAAGCTGAAATTCTCAAACAAACAAACACATAAATCCAAATTTCCAAATGGGTTTTTAGATTCCTAACAAGTTGTTTATTTGTTGTACCCAAGTGGCAAGCAACAAAAAGAACATGTCCCAAGAAGAAAACCCAGTTGAAATATGAACAAGAAATGCTTTTTCCAAACTTAAACTTACATAAATCTTGGCACAATTAAAACCCAAAAATAAAAAAAATAAAAAAAAAGCAAATAAATAAAGGAAAAGAGAAGAGCCATGGAGACAAGAAAGAGTCTAACCTCAGTTGAGGAGTAGAAGAAGCCATATATAGCAGCAATTCAGCAAAAACAGAACAAGTGCCAAGAATCATCACCAATATAAAGAGAAAAACATTAGTGTTGTTATCCAAAAAGGACAGATTTTGTTATTTCTTATTGCTTTTTTGGGTGTTTTTGTTTCTGTTTGGTGTGTAAATATTGGTTTCTCAGGCTATGGTTTGGATTGGAGTGGAGTGAGGGAAGGAAGGGGATGAAAGTATTATATTTAGGGACTTTATAAATAGTGTTGTTACTATAGATAGGAGATAGAAAGATGCCATGAGTAAACACAAATTGAATAATAATATCAAATAAATAAGAATAGTTGGGATTAGTTGAAGAAACAGATGGGGAAATTAAGGAAGTGGACATTATTATCGTTATTGTTACTATTGTTATTTTTATTTTTATTATTTAGTTCCGATATCACCTAGACAATGCACGCAACACGTTGAATCTACTATAGATTTCTAATATAAATTTCAAGTACATGCTCCTTTAGTTTGCTAATTAATAAAGTCTCTAAAAAGATTTTTTTAAGACTATTTTTAATTATTTTATCTTATTAAAAATACATTAGATTAAAAAAAATATAAAATAAATAGATTTTAATATAAATTTAACGATTAAAAAATAAAAGATTACTAGTAACCTATTTTTACATTAGCTACAAGTGAAAGTTCAAAAAAAAAAGTGAAAAATGATATAATGTTACAACAACAAAAAAAATTTCATCACAAAACTCTATTTCGTTCATTTTACCGATTTGAGTTTTCAGTTTTAAATTTTTACAGTAAAAAATTTTCAGAAAATGTCACATCTAACTTTTTTTATTATAGTAAAAAACTCTTAAAAAATATCGCATCTCAACTCAAATTAAAAACTCAAATTTATAAAGTGAATGAAGCCACACAAGGACCCGTTCGGTTAGTTAATTCGAGTTGAGATGTGATGTTGTGTGATAATTTTTTACTGTAATAAAAAAGTTAAATATGACTGTTTCTAAGAGACTTTTACTGTAACGAAACTCAAATTCTAAACTCGAATTAACGAAAAGAACGGGCCAATATACGGCTTCTTTTTTTCCCTGAATTCCCGGAGTCATGACTCATGCATGCATTATTATTTTCTCCCCGATAATATTACAGTGATTACGACTTTTATATCAACTTTGAAATGTTACTGTTGGATTTGACAATCCAATTCTATTATTATTCTTATTTACTGAGGGGGAAATTACTTGTGCAATATTTTGTATTTTTCGTTTTCGATCGGAGAAAAATAGAAATTAAAGAGACGTTTAGTTCATAAATTAAAATTATGAGATTAAAATTATTTTTAATTTATATATATTTTTTATGAAAAAAAATACTATAACAAATAATAAATCATAATTCAAATTAAAATATGAATTTCTTAACGAAACAACTCCTAAAAAAAATAAATTATTTTATTTTATCCCAGCTTAGCTGTAGTAGACAGAGAACGGTAGTCTTTAGAGATCGACACAAAAAGGCATATAGATGGTGCTGATGACGACTGATCGAATATATAAATTGGAAGAATAAATAATTATTAATTATTATTTAATATTAAAAAATAAGATATAATGTTATCATTATTTGGTCATGAAAAATGTTAATGTGATACTCTTTTTATCACATTTTTTATTATTTTGTATATTTATTATTTAACACGTAAATTTTATTATTTAATTTTTTATATTAGGATAATAAATTACACGTATTAAATAATGAGTACAAAAATTAATAAAAAAAATTGACGCAGTCATCATTGAAAATGCTTAGTTTGGAAACATGAATTTCCTAATTTTTTCTAAAATTAAAAAAAGAAAAAGAAAGAAAAGAAGAGAGAGAGTGGTCGTGAATACAGCTGTAAACAACAGCGTGATAAGTTCTTCTCTTCTATCCGTTTTCTCTTACTTTGACTTCACAACCCTTGGTACATGTACCATATTATTAGGTCATAATTTTATTCTCTTTTTTTTTCTCAGTATTTATTATTATATCATCATTTTCTTATTTATTATATTCCCTCACAAGCATACAATATTTTCCTTCGTAATAAGAGTGGCATAGGATGATTTTGTTGCATTGTATAAAAACTAGTATAATGCATTTTAAAACTATTTTAGATACACATTACGTTTAGAAAACTAATGATAATTTAACGAAATTAAAAATTTGCGTTTGATTGGTGTATCTGTGTCATGATTCGAATCATAGTTCATGGTTCGCTACAGTATTTTTTCACATAAAAAATACACATAAATTGAGAATGATTCTGAATCATGATTTTGAATCCATAAATCCACGATGATTCACAATGGTGATATGATTAACGTATACCATACAATTTTCTATAGGGTTATATCAATATAATATATATATAGGCAACAATTTAATAGACATTAATTAATACCATTTAAAATAAATAAATAAATTGGAGAAGAAAACAAAAATATTTAGGAATTTGAGACAGTTTCTGATATAGATCTTACGAGTAAAAATAAAAAAAATTCTATTTAGTTTTTTTTTCTACCAAAGATGCTTTCAAAATTTTAATTTTGACCTTTTATTTTTATTTACTTTTATTTTTTTGAAATGGATTTATTTTTTTTTATTTTTTCTAAATTATAAGAGAATCTTCTTTTTATAGGAAAACAAAGGACGTGTTTGGAATTGATCTCATTTTTATTTTTTACATTTTTCGAGAAAAAAAAAAGAAAACGTTTTTAAAACGGCATTTGGCGCAATAAAGACAAAAAGCGGAAATGAAAACGATTTTTTTAATTTAGTATAAAATGAGAGAGAAATAAAAAACGACATTTAGTCGTTTTTCATTTTTTTATTTTCGTTTTCTCATCTCTCGAGCAGAGAGAGAGAAAGAGATGCATTAATGGGTTTTTTATACTGAAAACAATCTCTTGATAAAATTATCAAACACATTTTCAAAAATGATTTCTGTCTGAGATTGAAAACGTTTTCATTTTCATGTTTATATAAAAAATAAAATTATTTTGAAATGAGTTACAAACACGCCTAAAGATTTGGAATGGTTATAAACATACAATTTTTTTTGTTCTTTTTCATGGCATTGCAACTACCGTCAAACGTGCGGTGCCATTAGAAAAAACTTAGTCCTTTTTTTTCTTTTTTTTGTTCTTTTTCTTTCGTTTACACAAAGAAATCCCCAACAAAATTCAGCATCCAATGTGTACAAACAATCAAACAATTGACTATAGCCTACACATATGGATAAGATAGCATTACCCTCTAATTTGAATTACCAGTTTAATCAATATTTAAGAGAAAGTGGATCAAAAAAGATTCATGTAATCTCGTCATCTTTTATAATATTATGTCACCTCAATCAAAATATTTTAAGTAATATAAACTTTTAATGAATATAACATGATGTTTCAATTGACCGGAGATTTTAAGGGACTATTATTGGCACAACATAAAATTATTGGAGCAACATAAAAAAAGGAACAAAAAGCAGTTGGTAGGAAAAAAAAAAATATTTTTTAGTATATAAATCTTGGGGAAAAAAAATGTACCGTAGTTTCTCTAAATGCTGAAAGCAACTCCCTCTTCCTATTTGCAATGTTGAACGATTAGACATTTTGTGTGGTCTGATCATTAGGCCCATATAATGTGAGAGAGAACACCAAAAATAAAATAAAATAAAATAAAATCATGTGAGAGAGAACACACAGAAAAACAATAAAAATGAACAAATAATAGATGCCTCTGCCTTTTTACTTTTAGTTTCAGTGATCTAAATCTCTTTTTTCCCCTTATCTTTTCTGATTAATATACCCCAATCCCCATTATGTGGAGGAAATAGAACCACTAACCTAAAAAAAAGGGTCCTTCTATGACGGGGTCGTTATTAATTGTGTCTATTTTTAACTGTTAAATTTGATAAAAATCATGTCAACATAAAAAAGTTTATAGAACAAACAGTTTTTAATATAGATACAGGTGGTTCATTTTTTTTAAGACATGCGGTAGAAATCTAAAAAAAAATAAAAAAAAAAAATAAAAAACGTTTTGAAGATCTGAAAGAAACAATTTCTTTCCAACTTGTATATGTCAACATCATGCATTTCCATTGGTTTAAATAACATCTGATCACGTATGGGTGCATTTTCATAGTCTATTGCAATATCTTGAAATGTTCCTCAACTAAAATTTATAACGTACCCAAACAAAGTACCCTAGGATAAATGTTTTATAGATTATCCAATTTTTATCCTTCTTTTTTTAAATTACGCAATGCTAAATTCTTTATAAAATAGAGTATAATGAGTGGTTACAGACATCACCTAGTGATAAATTTACATCCTTATCTCTCATGTATTATTGAGGTTCAAAGTTCGAATCCCATATGAAAAGAATGAAGAAATAAAAAAAAAGGAGGAAGAAATACAAGATAAATAAGCCTTTTCATTCTATATAGCCCCTATTTTCTAAGACTCTTTGTATGTGTTTGTGGTGTGTGTAATGAGGGAGAGGTATGCATTGTATTGGAACGAGGACACTTGCAGGGTTTGGGAATGTATGCAAAGATGACAAGATCAGGGGATATGGTGGGCAGCACTATTTGCCACTATCCACATTCAATAGGCTGACTCTTATTTGCTACAATTATTATAATTTTTATTATTATATTTTGTATTTTATTTTATTTTATTTTGCTAAAATATCCAATAGGCTGATTTCATTGCAACAAAATCTATTCCACAAGTCAACAACAAAAATGACCTACCCCCAATTCCCTCATAAATTTAATGTGCAAACACAAAGTGCCAACTTCATTGCATGTGCAGGCATGGGAGTGTGGACCCATTTGCTCTGCCAATCAGCTCTCAAGAACATGCAATGCAACCCCAATAAAAGGCTTTTACATTTGTTTTCTTCTTCTTCTTTTTGGATTGAAAAAAGCTTGAGCTTTTTTTTTACCATATATAAAAATCTAAAAGAAAGCCAACAAAAAATAATGATAAACAAATAGTAAAATTATGGATGAAAAAGAACCGGCGACAACAAATATAGCACACAGCAAAGAACAAAAGAACCAATAGTGGGAAACATGCATGCAGTTGGTGACTCTTGACTTTGACTTTGTTTAGTTGCTTTCTTCCCAACAGGATTTTCAGGAGAAAGTGTGGCTAGCTATTATAGCTATTGTAATTTGATTTTTTTTTTTTTTTTTTTTTTTTTAGTATATGTTCGTTGTATCTTAATACTCCAACCACCAAGATTTTGGAACCACATCTATTTGTCAGATCTCACATGAGTTCCCAACTTTTATCCTTATAAAAAATATATATATTATAAAGTTAAAATTATTTGTCTATGTTAGCTGATCCAAATGATTATTATAGTGCCTTAAATTTTTCTATGAAACTCATATTTAAAAAGTCTCAAAATTCACTAGCGATTGTTGCTCTAGGAATGACTTTGTTAATTATTTTAGAGTTTTAAAAAAGGGACCGGATCAAAGGGAAAAAAGAAAAGGACCAGATCAAATTAACCATAAACTTCTTTTTTTTTTTTTTTAAAAAAAGACTACAACAACAAAAACTTGCAACGATAACTATAGCTTCGAGACATGGCGAGCCTCAGCTCCCAACGGAAACAAAGGTGGGGCCAGTCCCATCCTCAATTAGATGTGAAGTTGGAGGCTTGCACATTTTGTACTTGATTTAAAATTGCTGGTATCACTCTTTTCATAATTTTTAATTATTACTTTTTTTACTCATCATTTGACAGATATATTTCACTATAATAAGAAATATTGCTAAAAAAAAGTGATATTAGGATTTTACTTCGAAAAAATGTATATATATATCAAAACAGAGAGAAGTTTGTCATAAGGACTTTTTCCCTTAATCATGGAATCTATGACCATCCAGAATGGAAAGTAGGAATGTCATTTTTTGATCAGAAAGCTGAGATATGTTTATGTCATGAGCACTAATAATGTCGTCATAATTAATTATGTAAACTTATCTCCACGTCATGAGCACTAATAAAGTCGCCATTAGTTACACAAGTATATACATATATATAAATATATATATTTAATTCGCAACAAATGGATGCCTCGTTGTTCCTTGAGCAATGATTCTTCGTCCATTCAGTCTTCCAAGTCTGGTCTGACAACTTCATTTTCCCGGGAAAATGTTATATTTCTCGGAGAAACTTTCAATTCTTTTGTCTTTAACGAACTCATGTTTCGTCCTGTATAACAACCGAACTTGCTGTCCTTTCAACGGTTTCATTGATTACCAAAAGAATTCAATTAAAATCTTTTTTTTTTATTTCTTTTCTGACTCAATTAAATCTGATTTCAAATATTCAATTCATTCCAGTTAACAGTTTGCTGAATAAATAGTTTTTTTTTTTTTTTTTGGTAATTACTGAATAAATCGTTTTGTGAACAAATCGTGCACCAATCCATTTTACTTTTTTTTTTGTTTTTTTTGTTTAATTCCAATGAACATGTTCGTGTAAACAATCATTTTAATTGTTTTAAGATTTGTAAATGCAATCTGACTCGATACAATCAAAATTAATTGGGGCTTGTTGGGTTGAATTATTTCAATGAGATTAATCATGAACACCATTATCACAAACAATCTACAATCTACAAGATTGAAGAAACACTCAGAATTGGAGTTTCACTATGATTCAGGCATGAGAACTGCTCCTGGGCGTTCAAGAATCTTTTCTTTACCATCAAGGAAATAAAATAGCAAATAAAACAGATATAGAGAAACAAGGTAATGACACTTGATAACCCGCATTTGTACGAGCCGACTCAAACCAGAGACCTTGCGCCAAGAATCTTTGGCGCTTGACAAACCTACTTTTGTATTTCCTGTGCGTGCAGTAAACACGGTCAAACTTTACCGCATGGCACACGTAGGCCTCGTTCGTTTGTGTATTCAAATATCAACTCTTTGAAAGTGATGACGCGTTTAGAACTCGTTTTAAAATGATTTTATTTTTTATATGAAAGGAAAAATAAAAACGTTTACAATCTCAGATAGAAATTATTTTTAAAAATATGTTTGGTAATTTTATTAAGATATTATTTTCAGTATAAAAAAATCCATTAATTCTCTCTTTCTCTCTGCTCGAGAAAAGAGAAAATGAAAACAAAAAATGAAAAACAATTAAAAGTCATTTTTCATTTCTCTCTCATCATTTTCATTTCCATTTTTTGTTTTTATTATGCCAAATGTCGTTTTGAGAACGTTTTCATTTTTTTTTTTCTCAAAAAATGTAAAAAACAAAAATGAGATTAATTTCAAACATGGCCGATATTCCTCTAATTCACCCCAAACATGCTACTTTTAGGCCCAAGAGTTGTCTTGTGAACTTATCGAATGGGTATTTGTCTATTTTTTCCTGAAACATTCTTATGGATTTGGACTGTTCACCATTAGATTGGGCTCAGAATCTCAATTTCCACAATAAGGCCCAAAACCATTCTGAATTGTTCTCCACATTCCAAATGCAAATCATACGAACCAATATACACGTGCACATTTAATTGTACATATAGCGATAAAAGTATAAAACCACACAATCACACCATTGCTTTGGGAGTCCAAAAACCAACCAGTCACCAGATAAAGGAAACAAGAAGTATGGGAAAAAATAAAAGGAAAAGAAAAGAAAAGAAAAGAAAAAAAGCTGCTCCTTAAAAAGCAATGGTTATATCTAGGCCTTTCTAACTTAGCCTTGGCCTTGGTTGTGCTTTGGCAGTGGGTTATCACTTCCATCTCTTGAACTTCATGAACTTGCCTCCATGCTTCCCAAACATGCCGTGCTTCCAACGCTTCCCGAACTTACCGTGCTTGAACTTTCCATGATGATGGCCATAGTAACCGTGTCCGTGTCCGTATCCATGTCCGTATCCATGTCCGTGTCCAAGATGGTGGGCACCATAAGCAACTGCCGCACCAGTGAGACCCCCAGCTAGCATCGATCCCATACCAGGTCCATGCCCTGTAACATCGTTTACTGATCAGCATGATAACAAGTTGTGTAGCAAAACGGCACTCTACATCTTTAGCTTTTAACATCACATTGGATGACAGAAAAAGATATCTACGAGTAAACTAGTGTGAATTTCTTCCATATCCTTAGACACTGGTGGTCGGTTTGGCATGGGGTATGGGAGCAAAGTAGAACAAGGGAATGGAATGAGAGGATTAGTAGGTTGGTTACGAAATGTATGTTCATTTGGTAGGAGAGATTGCTAAAAGTAGTAGTGAATAGGGCTAGAGCAATGAAATCTAAACTTCAGCTACATTTTTGTCTCAAAAAGATTAGAAGAATTACAGAGGAAACCAATGGAATCGAGTAACAAACTAAAATTACTATTTACAAACTTAAAGTTCGAAATCTACAAAAACCAATATGGAATGGATAAAAATTAAAAGGGTAATTCAAAAAATTTTATTGCTTTCTCCACATCTCGTGTTGAAATCAAGACCGGGTGAGTGGAAATATTATACAACGAAGACTTGATGAGTAAAAGTGTTGTGCAGTACATATCATAGTGCCTAATCGGATGAGTAGGAATAACACATATCATATTTCCTAAAGGATGAGTAGTAGTATGTTGGAAGAAAAAAGTCAATATATATATATATATATATATATATATAACGTAGAGGCCAAGCAGCTTGTAGGCTATAAATAGTCATTCCCTAAACTCGTTGAAGCACGGCAAAGTGATCAGCCAAGTGAAGAAAAAAAAAAGTGTGCTTAGTGTGAGAAAGTGAGTGATAGTTAGAACTCTCATTTTATAGTGTTAATTTTTTGAGTGTTCTCTCTTTGTGAAATGTAGGGTTTTGATGTAAAGGTGCTTTTAATTTAATAAAAACATCCTTATTATCCCAGTGTTCTGTTCTACATCTTATACAAACCAAGGACAATTATTTTTGTGTCCTTTCCCCATCTCCATTTCTTACCAAACACACCAAAAACAAAAAAGTGTCATTTTCTTTTTCTATTCACTGAAGTTTTAAACCTCCTTCTTGTTCCTATTCTTTATTTCTCCAGCAAAACACAGCCTACGACTAGTTATTTTCTTAATGGGTTGGGTAAAAGAAACAAAAATCATGTTAAAGTGAAATGTGTACCTGCATGATATGGAGCCGATGGACCAGGATAACCCGCTGGTGGGTAACCACCAGGGGGAGGATATGCTGGTGGGTACGCAGCATAGGGCGGGGGAGGGTATCCAGCCGGTGGGTATCCGGCCTGTGGATAGCCGCCGGGAGGAGGATATCCGGCTGGTTGGTAGCCTTGGGGAGGATACCCGGGAGATGGATATGCTTGCGGCGGATATGATCCATATGGGGGATGGTATCCAGCAGCATATCCAGCAAGATGTGATAATAGTCCTTTGTCATCGTGGTGCTTGTCCTTCCCCATCTTTGTTGTTCAGCTAAAGATTACTGCAGAGATTACGTTACAAAATGCTTGAGATACTTTCACAAAGAGATCCCACTGAAGGGAGAAAAAACTAAAAATAAAGGTTCCCAAGTACTCGAAAAATTTGTTCCTCCATCACGAGGACAAAATGATAATAAAAAAAACATGTGCAAGTTCTTATTGCAGAACCAACAATGGGGAAGGAAAAGTGGGATGGTAGAACAATAATAAACAGAAATACAGCTAGGGTGGTTTAAAATATACATGGGTGCAATTGGAATTACGCCAAGGATATCTTCCTACCATAAGTTTGATTAAGTAAACCCCGTTTGTTTCGCCTTTTTTACGGTGTTTTATTTCACAAAAATTTTGAATTTCTATTCAAACTTATGAACCAAACCGTTTGCAAAATCATCTCAAACTTTCAGTTTATTATTAGTTAAACTCATCTATATTATCAAAAGGACCTTATAACTCTAACAAGGTTGATTAACTTTAGTTGTAAATTCAAAGAGAAAAGCACCAACAAGGATACCCAATGGCCTTTGCACCCAAAAAAAAAAAAAAGTTTATTTTTCTTGACAAAAAAAAAAAAAAAGGAAGTGTCTATAAGGCAAAAACTATACGAAAAATCACATTCATAACCATCCAGATCATAAAACATGATGGCATCGAATAAAGGGCATTAAATTTTTTTCAAACACGGTTAGAATTAGGAATTTGATGATAATCAAAGAACAGTTAGTCATTAACAACGCAAAAATTTTACAATATTGCACGGTTATTACAAACATATAGACATATCAATTCGTGTATACAACTCAAATTTGATAAAAGATCAAAATAATAGACAGGCAAAAGTGCAAGAAAAGAAACACAATAAAAAGAAAAAACAGAAACCCATAAGAGAATTTTTGGAACAACAAAGGATTACTATGTTCAAAAAAGAAAAAAAATTGCATAGCAAAAGAACTCACCTCTTAATACGGGTACGATTTTTTTTTTTTTTTTTTCCGTTTCCAGAGAAAATTTTTGCATGCACACAGAGAGCGTTTCCGTCGGGGCTTTTATGGTGATCTTCGTGATGAGATTTTAATATTATTTTATTAGTCTTTTATGTCTTGTTTTCTCTGCTATTTCGCAACAATCCTATGAAATTCGTGAATTTGAATTTTTAATAATATCGTTTATCATTATTATTATATTTCTACGGATAGATACGCCGCGTTGCTTCAACGCGTCTTCTTTCTTTAATTGACGCCTTTTACTTGTTTCCTAAACTTTGGATTTGTTGGTCATTGGACCACCAAATCCACTTTTCATTATTTTGCATAAAAAAAAGGACGTTATTAGCACTATTAGTCCTTAAATCATGAATATTATGTCACTTTGTTACTTAAACTTTTCAATTTTAACAAATCACTCTGTGAAGTTCGTTTTTCTTTTGCAATTTCAGTTCTTGACACTAGAATTAGCGAATGACCCTTTAAAAATTTATCAGAAATAATCACATCCTAATCATATTATTAACTTACATTTTTACAAAAATAGTCATTTTAAATGCAAAATGTTCTAGTTTTTAAGGGGTTTTAACAACAATGAAGACGTAACTTTTTCTGTAGAAATTAATATTATTTTGTGATTTGAACGTGATTTTCTCTATGAAATTTCAAAAATTATTCGTCGCTTTTAGTGTCCGGGACCAAAGCAATCAAAATATATTAGTTTATAGACTAATTTAAGCAATAAAATACACATTAATTTAAGACGAACGGTGTTAATGATCCAAAAAAATATCCTCCCTTTATCGTTGTTATATAATATTTATTTTTAGCCTCTTTCCCATTTTCATTTACACCTAGCTGCTTCTATATATACATTATAAAACTAGTTTCTAATTCTGTTCTTTAAGCCTTGATCGTCAAGTCTTGCAACTTCCTTGCTCGACGACCATATCAGACTTTCCATGTCCATATGTCCGTGTTTAGAATTAGAAGGGTAATTAAATGATAATGCATTTCTATTATACATGTTATTTATCTTAACCCAGTTTCATTCCACCCTGTTTTTTCTCTTAGCAAACAATCATGGGTCCCAAAACCTTTCACTGATGCCCCAAAAATCATTCCACTTTTCCTCCCTACTAAACAAGCTCTTAAGACTCAGGTTTTTTCAAAGGATTTGATTTCAAATCCCTCACCCAATCCATTCCCTCGTCTTTTCGCTCATACCAAAAAATATGTATCCCGAAACTCTTCCACTAATCCCTCACCGCTTTTTGTCCTTCCACTTTGCCTCCGACTAAACGAGCTCTTAAGCATCAACACGAAGTCCTCGTTGATCCTATGAAATAGGACCCACAAATGAGATCAACATATTAGTGTCTTCTGGCGATCATAACCAGTGTCGATGGATAGTAACATTCATTTTGTTTTCTAACACTACCACAAAATTCCCTCAATCTAAAAATAAGATAAAAGCTCATGAAAAATTGGTGTAGAAACTAACTTGTATTGGTAGGATACTTAATCATAGACCAAGTCAGCAACCATTTATTCATTTTCACTCAAAGAAGGTGTTAGTTCAATTTTATATCAGCTTTCTGGTACATCCTTCTGTAAATTTTTGCACCTTCAGCTTCAGCATGGATTTCTCTCTCTGTTCTTATCCCCATGGGATTTCTCAACAACCACCCCTCACCATCACACAACACACTCGAGTCCACGTCATCAATGTGTTTCAGTGTCTCGGCCTCACCATGAAACTGATTCCTCATGTCAACTGCTACCTCAAACACATCTGACTGTATAAATACCTGATTTAAACACCAAACGTATCTAAATGCATGTTGTTGAATTTCAAGGCCAAAAGAAAGGGGCAAAAACACAAATCATGACTCGGTATAAAACCTGGCCTCCTGGCATTAAGCTCTCCACAATGGCATCTGCTAAGGGCTTCTGCACAACCCTTCTCTTGTGATGTCTTTTCTTAAAATGCGGATCCGGGCACTGTAAATAAGCATGAGCAAAGAACGGACTTGGTTAAGAACTAACTTGGTTAAATTAGTGTTTTAGTAATGAGAACTGCACTTACCAGGATTGAAACAAGCGCCAGTGGTCCAGGATAGGTAGATACTAGTTGTTTGAAAGAAATTGTAGCATTTGCAAATAAGAAATGTCTGCAATTTTAGTTCAAGTAACATATTATCAACTAAACAGTGTTAGGGCGTCTCTAATGACTAATGGAATGCCAAATTTCTATGCCAATGCCAAAATTTGACATTTGGGTAAGAAAATCATCCCACAATGCAATACTTGATCTATTTTGTTATGTTGTTTCCTTGGTTTTTTCTTTTTCTTTTTTTATGGATATCTCGTCCATCTAAATTTTATTTGTAATTGTTCTTTTTATTTTCTTTTGAATAATTTTCACAGTTTCTTGTCCACAAAAAAAAGTCAAATTTGGCGCGTGCTACTGTTGCTTATTGGTTTATGTGTTACTTTTTCACTTAATAACTATAACATTACCATTTTCAAATTCTTTAAAATCCAAAAGGTAGATATAGCATTTAATCTAGTATTATGCAATTTTTTTTTTTTTTTGATAAGTTAGTATTATGCATTGGAGCACAAAATAGAATCGCGTATCATACATGCCATTTTACACTTTTTTGTGCCAATTACTACGTTAGTATTTACATTGGACATGGTCTTTTATTCAACCTTTTTCTATCCCATAATATAAAATCAAATAACTTACATATTATCAAGAGTAAGCTCCTTAACCCAGACCTGTGCACGCTTTACCAGCTGTGTTGGGGAAACAAAAAACAAAAAACAAACAATTACTACATGATATGCAAGGGAAAAAAGCTTATTATTGATGTGAATAGTAGGGCCAAGTAATTGTACAACTATACAATCAGTCAGAGGAAAGATTCAAGTATACTAAAAGGAGTTTTTCCATACTTTATCTCGTATTTCGAGTCCCAAGTAATTTCTTACACCAAGATTTCTTTTTGCAAGCCATAGCAGAAATCTGCCACTACCTGAAATATTCATTTGCTAGATTGAGATTATGAATCGATGACAATTACGGCCAACACAAAATTAGTCAAATTCCAAAAAGAAAAAAACAAACAAACAAACAAACAAACAAACAAACGAACGAACTGATGAGAATCATCCAAGTTTGAGCTGAAAAGTAATTAAACAAGGAAATGTGAGAAAGTAATTCGTATTCTCTCCCCATATCATGTAGAATCCAATCCCAAAATACAAATGTCATTATCTTTTCTTTGGTCCAAAAAGTACCAACAAATAATTGGAATAAGATTCTAATTAAAAATGAAACAGAAAGTTGAAGGAAGTTAGTGAATCAATGCTGCTCCTTTTTTTTTTTTTTAAAGTTGCATTTCAATGCATAAAGAAGATGATGAAAAGGAAAAACCACATTTATAAACAGCTGTAGAGAATCTATCAGAAAAAGAAGTAAAATGTTGGGTACCACTTCCAATATCCACCATTAGCGGCAATGTTGGGTCTTTAAAGACTTGATTCCAATCAGACACTTCTACAGGCACCTACTTTATTATTTTTTTTAGAAAAAAAAGGGAGTACACACAATTTTCTCATAAGAATTGACTTTTAGCAATTTAAACATGAGATGAGCAATAATTTAAAAAAAAATACTTGAAATACATACAGAAAAAGAAGAACTGAGGGGGTTGACATGTTGCCTGATTCTGACATGACCCAGTTCCTGCACACTCAAACATACATACCCAACAACCCATTTTCACGAGTTTCATTAGAATTTTAGAGAGATAGAGAATAAGAGAATTAACTTTTAAAATCCGGTGGATGAAAGAAAGTTAAGAGGAGGGAAACCTTGTGGGGAAGATTAAGGTCAGCATATTCCAAGGCTACAAGCTCTGGGCTGCTCAGCCGACATTGGTCTGTCGAAGAAGAAGAAGAAGAAGAAGATAGAAGTGGCGATGGAGTTGGTTTAAGCACTTTGGGTTCAGAAGCAGAGAAAACCCTTGTAGGGATTAAATGAGGACGACATTTTGGAGCGACAATAATGAGACCGCTAGTGTTGTTTTGAAAGTATTGGAGTCGCGAGCAAACCCACGAAGCCATTTTCGCCGCCCGAATTTCCCATTACTATTAATTCATTGTTTTCTCATGGGTTTTTTAACTCGAGAAAAATGGATAAAAGCGGAAGACTTTTGGCTACACTCAATACTACAGAGACATCCCTGTCGTTTGTCAAAATTACAAGAATACACTTTGATGTAGGGAGTGTAGGGCTGTTCATAACCCCACAAAACCCGTAAAATTCGCACGCTCAACTCACTCCACTCTAATCTAATCTAAAAAATATATTTAGAAAATAGTAAAAAATAGACTAATATGAAAAGGTTAAGAAAGTATATAGACGAATTTTTAGTTATAGAAATTAAAAGGTTATAACTTGTCAAGTTATGGTTCATAATCAGATAAGTTATGGACAAACTTGTCAAGTTATGGTTCATAACCAGACAAGTTATGGACAATTATGGATAATAACTTGTCAAGTTATGGTTCATAACCAGACAAGTTATGGACGAAAACAGTAATTTGGCCTATTTATTAACTTATGTAAACTATTCGCCTATTAATTTTAATTCATCTCAAGTCTTAGCATGTTTTCCTCTTTCTCCCAATATAATTTTTAGTATTAAATTTTTGTTCGGCCCATTCATTTTCTGGCTCGAAATTTTAAGGCGGGGTGTGAGTTGAGCTTATAATGGCATGCACATCCTAACTCAACTCGCGCTCTAACTTGCATCATCTAATATCTAACCCTAGGCAGACAACTTATTTCTGCTCTCTAATTTCTTCATGTTTGAATTAAGTATCTATGTTTGCTTTATGTTAAAACTAATTTATGAGTGTAGACTAATTTATGTTTGATTTTTGATTGAACTTTAAATTTCTATCTGTTTGAATGTTGGAGTTATTATTTATATTTGATTATGAATTTTGAATGTTGGATTGAACTTTGAGTCTTTGATTCTTTGAATATTGAAACCGACCACCCAACCCACCCTGCACCGCCCCAACCCAACCGAAATATCATTGGGTTGTGAAATTTTTTTAACATCGTTGGGGCCAAATATGTACAACCCACACCCTTTGAGGCGAGAGAAGAAAAAGTTTTATCCCGTACCAACTCAACCCATGAACAGCCCTAATAAGGAAAGAAGAGTCTAGTCGTTGGAAAATTATATTCATACCTCATTATAAGAGTTTTTCTGATTTGACTAATAAAAATAAACTACAATTAATTTTCTATTTTTCAATAATTATTTGTATTAAAAATTATCTATTTTGAATACTTTTTTTAATTTAACGTGATCTTAATTAAATTTAAAAATTAAAAAAATTAATTTTACCGCCATTCTTTTATTAAGGCAACCATTTTCCTTAAAAATATTTAATTACAGTTGTACCCTTCACCAAATGCCTTTAATGTAAAAATTCACCCGCTAGTACACCCATAAGCAATTGTTTCTGTAAAATCCAATCATACCGGTATCCTTGAAATAAGATCCAATAATAACAAGTGAGAAATAAGATCCATTGCGTTTTAACATCGTTGTGTATCTTCTCTTTCCGTTGAGTTTTTTTTTTTTTACTATTTCTGCCTATAAACTATTTATTTATTTATTTATAATTACTGTTCTTTGCATCACGAGCATCTAAAAAAATGGATAGAAAGCAATGAAGGAGCGGGAGGGAAAGTAACAAAAATAAAAAATTATGAAGAATTCAAGCAGGGGTTTCACAAGTTCAAAATTAGGAGAAGGTTTGCTTATGCAAAGAACGGCTGTTGAAAAAAAAAAAATATATATATATATATATATATTTTACTTTCTTTAAGTTGTCCTTTTTAGTCATTTTACAAATTAAGGGGTGTATTTATAATTTTTTAGAATGTGAATATAATTTCGCATAGTCATTTTTATATTTTTGTTGTTTATTTTAGCTTATTAATTTAGTTTAATTTATTATTAGAATGTCGTTTATTGTAATTGTTATTTTTTTATTTTTTATTTTATAAAATTTATAAATAACCACATCACTTATGGTAAAGATCAGGCTTTATACCCTTATATCCCTTATGTTTTTTAAAATATCAAAAATATCCTTGAATTAAAAATAACACTTTTTTAAAAATAAAATAAAAACACAACACAAAAAAAAAAAGTTTCTTTCAATATCTCTCTCTCCAAAAAAAAAATAAATAAATAAATAAACAAAAGGTGGTGAACAATTGATTAATATACAAGCTGGAATATTATGTCAGTAATTCTATTTACATGTTAGCAACTCCACTACAAATCTTCATGTGGTAGTGCTTTTGCCAAACTCAGTTGTAATAGTTTTATTTTACGTTGCTGACTCTGTTAAAATCTTGCCTTCAACATCCCCAAGAGTTTGCATCAGTTTGAACCATTACTCCAGTCCACGGCTCCCAAATTCCAGTTCTTCACTCTGTTGCTCGAAAACCTGAGTTGTTTAGGCATTCAATGCCAAGAGGTTTCTACCCTTCTGTGGGGAGAAGTTTTCTGAGGGAATCGCTTCCGCAGGCAATTCTCAATTCGTCAAGCATAGATTGTTGAAGCTGCAATCCGACCGCCTTCATCTGATAGACGAACTTAATGGCCTCAACATACAACTCATTTCGTATGTAGCCTCCGAGCATGGCATTCCAACACGCATTATTCCTTCTGTCACTGCTCTTTTCAAACACTCTTTGGGCATCTCTAAGTAGCCCGCTTCTTCCATACATGTCAATCAATCCACACTGAACATACAAGTCTGATTCGAATCCAAGCTTGATTGCATTGGCATGAACCTGTTGACCACTTTTTCTGCGGTCATGGATTCTCCCACAAGCCTTCAGAACACTAGAGAACATTAAGACATTCTTCTTAATTCCAGCCTTCCCGACCTCGTTGAAGTCTCGAAGTACCTCAAAGAAGAGCTCTTCCTTAGAGTTGTTAATCAGTCTGGTCATCCAAGTCAGGGTATCATGTCGAGGCAGTTGGTTAAACACCAAGTTGGCGCTCTCAAGACATCCGTATTTCCCGTAGAAGTTGATTAAGCAGCTGGCGAGATACAAACTATTAGCATGGCCTAACTTCAAGGCACAGGCGTGAACTTGTTTCCCTAATTCCATATTTCTTGTGCATACACACGTTTTGAGTAGGCAGACAATGATCCAAGAAGGGAACTCTAGCATATTGATATGGTGCAGCATTTTGAGGAACAAACTCGTTGCTTCTTCGTAGTCGGAATTGTTAACATTTGCAACGATCATGGTGGCCCAAGACTTGAAATCCTTAAAGGGCATCCTGTAAAACAGATCACAGGCAAGATCTAAGCGTCCACAGGATACATTCATGAAGAGGAGACGGTTGAGCAAGGGTAAGGCAAGGTGTTGGAGGCTGTTTCTGCTGATATGGTTGTGCAAGTCCTCAGCTCCACAGAAGTCGGCAGAAATGGTGCATTCTTTCATAAAAGAAATGTACATGTCAGGGGATATGGGAAGGCATAAGGCATCCATCAAGCGCAAAACATCAGAGGTAGAGCAGGCGGGAGGGGCAATTAGGGCATTCTTCTTCCGCATCTTTTTCTCCACTAGAATCTGACTCGAACAGTTAGCTTCTACAGTATGACAGGAATTGGGCCTCACTTGTGGTGCTATAGTACCGAGTTTCTCGTGATTTATAACAGAATGGGGCTTGTTGGGGCCACGCAAGGGCAACGAAACCTGAAAGGTAGCCTTGGATGTTGTGGGACTACTGCCCGTATCATGATCTGCTGCTGAGAATGTGGAATTACTATGGCTGTGGGCCAAACTCACTCCTGCTCCTGGAAGAGCAGCGGCTGCGATTTCCATTTTAGCAAGGTAGCAAGAGAGGCAGAGGGAAGGGGCTCCTTTTGTTTGTCAGGTTGTCGATTGTAACTTTGCTGATCCGGAGGTGTTCTGTATGCACAAAAAGATTTGCCATAGTTATCCAAATCTTGCAGTATGAAAAATTCTGCAGTACTTGCATTAAAATTCATTGGAAAAAGAGTGTGTTGAGACAACATTTTCTAATCGATGCTACACACAACTCCGTAAGACATGACTGATCAAGCACTGAAAGGGCAACAAGAAACCTTACGTGTCTAAATTTCAAAACACCGTATACTACCCATATAGACCAGGAATTTATTGTGAAAGGAGCCATCCATGGCGATAAGGAAAAAAGTGGATTGATGAAACAAAGGTTCATAACAAAGTAGTAGCACAAAAAAAATAATAAAAAAAAATAAAAGCTGTGAAAAAATAAACAGCATTATATGATAAGACGTGTGTGTACAAAGGAGACAAGATTTTGTTAAAGAAGTCGATGAATGGATAATTAAGGGTAGATAAGGAGGTTATCATCATAATATGCGAGTCACTAGTGAAATTTCTACACTAAGAGATACGGTTCCGTAAGTCTAATTGTGTGAACAATTGTATATTAAAACACAACATGAAAAAGCACATACTTTGGATTAATAACTATCTGAATCTCTAAAACACACGACATAATTGACTCAAATATCACTACCATCCTTTGAAAATTTTTCAACGCTAGTGCCCATGTTGGTTCTTCCAATTGCCAAAGGCTCTATTTGGCATACCTATGATATCTGATTTTTGGAGACTTTCATAATGTCTCACCCTACCTCAATAATTATAAGTTTTTCTTCACAATGATCAATGGGTCTAAATATGGTGCTGACTCTTCCCAGTATTGTGTCTTAATGCTCTCAAGTACAATTTGTAGGGAAATCTTCTATCCACATATCAGAACTATCCACAGATTAGACCTCGGAAAGACTCGAGTACAAGTTGCTTCTGCCCGCCCAAGAACAAACCTTACCTGTATACTTAAAACTTCTCCTTCAACTACTTAAGGAAAAAGAACTTTGTATTCCATACAGGATGTACTCTACGTTAATATTATCATTACTACCAAGTGACATAACTATGCAACACTAATAAGCATAAGTATTTTACACAATAAATTTGCAAAGGTGCAAGTCTAAAACTAATTGATTTTTCACTTCTTTCACCCACATCAATTGTTTAACGAGACAGCCATGTCATTATGTAGAAAAACCACTAAATTATTATGGGTCCAATAATAAACTAAACAGAAACTTATCACTATTAAGATATTAGCATGACTTTGAGGGAACTGATAATTACTAATTACTAATTCCAAGGTGAAACAGATAAATAGCAACTTATAAATGACAATTTCAATAGTCCATGAAATTATCACTATTAAGATATTAGCATGAATTTGAGGGAACTGATAATTAGTAATTACTAATTCCAAGGTGAAACAGATATATAACAACTTATAAATGTCAATTTTAATAGTCCATGTTTACTTGATACAAAATGATTAAACACAATGCTCCAACCAAAGAAAAACTCAACAAAAAGTAAAATGAAATTAACTAAAGTTTTTAGTCAATTAGATATCTCCACAACAACAAGAAAGAACTCTACCAAAACACTCATATTAAAAATAATTGCACTGAATAGCACAACAAGAAGAAACACCAACATATTAAAATAATAAAAGAAAAAGAAAAAGAGACCCAACAACAAGAAGAAGAAGAAAAACAAGGGAAAGCACAAACCTGAGAAAACACTTCTTTCTTGAGGGTTTAGTACGGATTGACTTATCAACCGACAAAAAAAAACAAGCGAAACGCGAGAAAACAGAAACCAAGAAGCAGAGTTTTGCTTAGGAAGAGAGAGAAACAGAAGGAAGCAGGCAATAACAGATTGAGAAGATAACATATGTTTAGCTATAGAGAGAGAAAGATAGTTTTACAGGCCTGGGTTTAATGGGAACTGAGGGGTCGGAGGATGTGAGATAAGAGAACCGACAAAGTAAGCGACGATGAAAGACAAAAAGACTGACTGAGGAAGAAAAAAAAAAAAAATTTAAATCATCGACGACATGTAGTTTACTGGACGACATGGAATTTGTGTCCTAAGAAGTAAGAAGTAAATGAAGATTTTTTTTTTACGCTTCCACCCATGGTTTTTTTCCGAAATAGCGGAGAAACCACCTTAACTAAAGCAAATTATGTCAACAAGCCTGACTTCTGAGAGCAAATTACAAAGACACCCTTCTGTTAGTTGACAAAAGACACCAGTAGAGGTGTAACTTTGGGCCGCCGGCCCGACCTAGCCCTAAAAGAGAGAAGGTCGGCTTAACCCGGTCTTAAGCCTAAAAAAATTAGGGGTGACCTGAAAATTTATAAGGTTTTTTTTAAAAAATCTTTAAAAATATGATGTTTGGGCCGGCGCAGCCTTAAAGGAGAGAAAATTGGTCTAGCCCGGCCCTAAAAGAGAGAGGGTCGGCCCAACCCGTCTCTAAGCCCAAAAAATTTAAGGCCAAACTCAGGCCAACGATAGCGGATCTCGGGCCAACCTGTTTAGTCCGGTCTAAACTTACAACTCTAGACTCTGGTTTGACACGTAAAATATTTTTAAAGGATTAATTATAAAAATTTATCCTGAATTATATCTTTTGTAACACTTTGTTCCATAATCTTTAAAATGTAGCATCTATTCCCCCTGAATAATGACATGTTAACAAAAAGTCTCATTTGTTATTTTTTTAACAGAAATTGACATTTAATTTATTATTTTGAGATATTTTAGTAGCTCTATAATTAAAATTTAGTTTGAATTTAAAATTAATTTAAATATTCAAAAAAAACTTCATAAATTTTTTTATTCTACTAAAAAATTCATAAAATTTTTAATCTATATTCAATTATTAATCTCGACACGTATGTTCACTCTTGTGCTTCATCTATCTTTACTGTTGGATCCAGTGAATGTCCGGAGTAGAATTTCCTTAAAGGTTGTGGTTATTTATGTAATTTATTAATTTATTAATGAAAATTTTCGTTTAAAAAAAAAAAGAAAGCATAAATGAATAAAAACCTCCAATTATTATCTTTACAATCAGAGTTTCAGTTATCCGGCATATCCGACTTGTGGTAGTGGTGGTTTTCCACTTTCAACTCCATTCTCAGTTCTCTCTCACCTGAACCTCAAAACTGTGAAACACACAAAAAAGTAAAGCTTAGCCCACCAATAATCATGTTCTGAAATATGAAGTTTCTCTACTGTTTCTCATTTCGTAGAAGATAGTAAGGAAGGAAATGGCTTTGGCTTTGTCACATATTAAACCATCCTGCCATTATTCGTTCTCTCGTGACACATCATCCGTACCATCTTCTTCATTCAACTACCGGCCGGCAGTTATTCTTCCAGTTAAGTCAAAGCTAATTTACATTTCTCTGGCCTTTTTTTCTGAGCACTACTTTCCCATGTTGACTTTGAGCCGTGATGTGCTTAAATTGTAATAAATGTGATATCACAGGGCTTGGGGAACAATTCTGGTGATTACCAAAAGTTGCAGCTTACTTTGAGAGAGTATGGAATTGAAACTGTGGTTGCCAATGTCTCCAGGGTTGACTGGCTGAGGAATGCTGCCGGCTTGGTCGACCCGAATTACTGGCGGGGAACTCTCCGCCCCCGCCCCGTGCTCGATTGGTATGTCTAGTAACATTGTTGATCTCGAGATGACCGATCGAGTTTTCAACGTTACTAGTTTTTGTTTTCTTTTGTTTGTTTGTTTTAAGATTTATACTTTTCATTTGTTTCGCTCGTTTGTGTGAGAGAAATATTGTAACAAAAAAAGTTGAATTTGAATTTTTATGAGAGAAAATGTTGTAGTAAATACTTAAATTGTGATTTGAACTAGCGAAACGAATTGAGCCTAATAAACATTGGAAATGTTGTATACTTCAAACAAATTTGAATCGGGTTTGCACTCAAATAGAGTGAGAGTCTATTTATTGATCTTGAGATGACCGAGTTTTCAACGTCACTAGTTTTTTTTTTCCCAAGATTTAGTTTCGGAAATGTCACTCACTTTAAGAAATTCGAATAGGATTTGCACTTGAATAGTGTTAAGAGTTCATAATCTTACTGTATTGGGAATGAAAAATGGCAGGTATTTGAAGAGAGTTGATGAGGCTGTACAAGAAGCCAAGGAGTTGTCACAAGGTTAACTTTTTCTACCATCGTCTTGGGTTCTTTTGCAGTTTACATGTCAGAAATGCCTATGGTATAATACAATATGGAGTAACAATTAGAAAGGCATTGTTCAGACAGAATGAAAACCAATAAACTGGAGAAACCCCTTTTCCTTTTTTCTATTTTCTTAATGGATGCAAGAGCAAACGTGAACCTGGGGTTGGCTGATGTGGTTTGGACCTCAAAGAAGTGTCTGAACTTGTTCATTGGATGTGCTCACGCAATTCTTAAGGAACTTCTCGAAGTAAGGGCCTAAATGATGATGCTCATGGTGAATTTCGGAGTATGGTCCTTAATGGTGTTTAGGGAGTTTGATAGTGCCTCTCGGCCCTCTCCTATTAGTTGCAATTTTTAGAAAGAATGATTTCGTGGACGTTTGGTTCATAGATTCAGAATCATTCTCGTTTTACGTGTGTTTTTTGTGAGAAAAAAACACTGTAGAGTACCGTGAATTATGATTCAAAATCAGGGACGAATACAGGAAACAAACGTCCCCTTCGTTGACACTCAAAAGTCAAGCAAACTGCTTTCAAATTTCTCAGCATCTCTGAGAGAGCTTATTGCTCAATTTGGCCTACACACTTAATCTAATGGCTTAATTATTTGACATTTGATCATATAGTTATATTTGTCAGGATCAATGATATGCATGTTGTAGTTTCTTAAAGCAGCAACCCCCATTCTAGGAAAGCAGCCTGTAGCGTTCATCTCCTATGTTACATGAAAATCATTATATAGATATAGATCAAGATATCTCACCATTAGTTCTTTGTATTGGTCCTTTGTGTTCATTATTATTTTCTCTCGTGTTTTACACATAAATTAGTTGTTTAATGAGCTCGGCTATATGTAGGTGGGAGTTTATCCCTGCTTGGACACTCAGCTGGAGGATGGCTTGCACGCGTCTATATGGAAGAATTTGGGCTGTCCCATATTTCCTTATTACTGACTCTTGGAACCCCCCACCTGTAAGCTTTCTTAATCTCTTTTGAAATCTCGGTAACCGTTTGGTAAATAAGTTCGAAACGTGATGGTCTGAACTTTCGTGGTTGAAATGAAAAGTTTGAAATATGTGTTTCGAACGTTGGATTCAAAATATTGGTTGCTGAAATGGGCTACAAAAGAAGAGCCTTTATTGTGTGACTCCATCAAGAAACCTGTATTGTGTTTGTTCTGTCCAGGCCGCCTCCAAATGGGGCAACAGGAGTTATTGATCAAACAAGGGGCCTCCTCAATTACGTTGAAAAACATTGCTCAAAAGCTGTTTACACGCCTCAGTTGAAATATGTATGTATTGCAGGAAGGTAAAATACAAAGTCAGATCCTCGTTTTTTTTTTCTATGTATAATTCGTTTTCTGTCATTATCCCTTGTCGCAAATCATTCAAATAAGACATCGCATTTAGGTATATCCAAGGTGCTCGTTTGTTTGGAAACTCAAATGATGCAAATGCTGAAGGTGAGGTTGCCATGGAAAGTGCAGGAACAACAGCAGAGGTTGCCTTCCCCGCGTCCGCGACAATGAGCCCCAGTTTGCGGTCTCGCTTCGTTGGGCAAGGCTACAAGCAGGTAAAAGCAAGACCCAATTCATCCTTTCTCAACCATCTCAGATCATGTGCCTTTATGATCAGGTTCGGATAAGCATGTCGGTTTTCATTGCTGTCTCTGCCAGGTTTGTGGGAGGGCGGATGTTTGGGGCGACGGAGTGGTACCAGAAGAATCAGCGCATTTGGAGGGGGCTCTCAATATAAGCTTGGATGGAGTTTACCATTCTCCTGTTGGCTCAGACGATACTTCAAGACCCTGGTATGGTTCCCCCGCTGTTGTCGAGCAATGGATCCATCACCTGCTCACCTAAAGTGTTGTAGTAACAATAACGCTAATACATTCATTTGGATGTCATAGAAATACATAAGTCATTTGTTATTTTATTTTATATATTTATCAAATTGATTATGGGGCCAATCCTTTGTTCTTTCACTTGCACGTAAGCTAAATCACGTAAAAGAAATCTAGTTCTCACTTTTTCACTTTCTCATAAGCCAAGATTATGTAACGACGACCCCCATGTGTGGGGCTTAGCAACATTGTAAACATAAAAAATCTTCAAATATTGAACCAGCAACATTGCTGACTTCAACAAATGATGGGGTGAAATTAGGAGAAAAAAAAATGATCCAATCGAACAGAGTTTCGAACGGAAAAGAGGTGCAGTGACTGATAGAAACTGAAACTGCATCCTGTAACATTGTGGTTTGCATCACACGGTTAACACATCAACATTCAACAGAAAGATTAAGTTCCAACCAACTACACAAAGACTAACTGTTTGTGTCCTAGACAGATAGAACTATACACAAAATGCCCGACACACAAACGCCAAGAAAGCTCGTTCTCGAAACATGGAAGCAGTCAATGTCAACATAACACAGAATCTTGAACCAAACTACAGGATTGTTCAAAAGTCTTAACTCAGAGTTTTTTTATCCTCCCAGTACAGAGGAGCTGGTGATATCAATTAGTCTTCACAAAGTGAGCGTTTAGCAGCTTGCTAACTTCCAGGAAGTTGATTTTGTCTCTTCCATCAAACAAGGACTTGAGCTTGCCGTCGCAATGGATCTCTCTCTTATTTGCAGGATTCTGCATTAAAAAAACAAAAAAGAAAACACCAAAAAAAAGTCATTTTTTAGTTCTTTGGATTTAATTTTGCAAGAATTATGTGGCAGTATATGAAAAAAAAGAAAAAAAAAAAAACAAAAGGAAAACTGCCAATAAGACAGCCGCAATCATATCAAATTACAAAAGTATATGACAATTCAACAAAACTGATAAAAAATATAACGGTTCAGACCCGTGCTTAAGTTTTTTTTTTTTTTTTTTTTTTTTTTTTTTTCCTTACCTCACCAGAGAATTCTTAAGAACCAGAATTCTGGTTTGGTCCATAAACTCTAAAATCAATAAAATTTGCTATGGAGTACCATGTTACTGACACTTGTGTCAGAGTTTTAAGGAAAAACAGTGAGATTAATTATAGAGTATAAAATGACGTTTATTATTTTATCTTTGAACTTCAGGCAAACGTTAAAACGAAAATCTAGGGACTACTTTTAAAAGTTTATAGACAACATTGCAACTGATTACTACAAGTTTTTGTCCAAGGAAATGCACGGCTGTTATATACCAGAAATAAACTCTATATATAAACCAAAATTATTTTTGCGAATGCAAAAACAAAAAGAAAAAACAAAACAAAAACAAAACAAAACAAAACAAAAAACAAGGTTAGTAGTTCTAGCATTGCAATAATTCAAACGACTCAAAATATTGGAGAAAAGGTTCCGTTTGGTTGGTTCCACAAGTATAAGAACTGACATTTTTAGAACAAAGGGCTGAAAACACCTTTCCGAATAGTTGGGATTTTTTGTACTAATATTTCCTAAAAATAATCCTAAAAAAACAAAAACAAAGACCTCGACGAAAAGGGCAAACAATCATTCGTTTGGACAAAGAAAAAATGGATGAAGAAGAGAAATGAGGGACCTGGAGGCTATGGAGCTTGATGTGGGCCCAGATTTGCTTGACGGCGTTGGCGCGAGAAGACTGGGAGGCGCCGAGGAAGGACGCCAGAGTCGGTGAGACCTGAACGGGCTTCTGCAGGCCGCCGGGCCGTCGGTCGGTTTGGGCTGACTCTCCCTTGGGCTTGGGTTTGGGCTTAGGCTTGGTCGCCGGCGACGCCGCGGCCGACTTGGTTGGAGCTAGGAGAAACCTGCAGGCTCTGAAGGCGGAGGAAGACATCGTTGATGGCTCAACCCTAACAGTAACAATAACAGTAAGACGAAGGGTTTTCCCTTCTTTACTTTGGACGCTTTTCTCTCTCTCCGCTCTAAACCCTAACCTAACACCCTCAATACTCTTACACTGCCCCTTCTCTTTGTAACGGAAAATTAAAGTACCTTTTCCGGTACTCAACGTAACGTATTGATAGATTAAATTCTTGATTTATTAAATTTGTATAAAAATAAGTAAAAATTAAAAAGTATATAAATTTAAAATTAGAAAAATTTAGATATTGTTAATTTTATTGATTTAAGTTTTTAATTTTAAATTTATTACAGTTAAAATTTTTTATACAAAGTCATATTTAATTTTTTTTGTTATAATTAAAAAATTTTATATAAAATTATATCTAAATTTAAATTAAAAACTCGAACCGACGAACTGAAAGAGACTTTAATCTATCATAGGCAATGAGAGAATCTTCAAATAAAAAAATGTTTCTCTTTTTTCTCCTCGAATTCCCCCTTTTCTTCTGCTTAATTTCTCCAGCCAATCACTAATTAAATTTAATTTTTCTGTGTCTAATTTTTTTAATAGAAATTCTGCGATTATTGTTGTTCGATTGAAATTCTATTGTAGTCCTTTGGTCTTTTTTTTTTTTTTTGGTTAATTGCATTGGGCCGTCTTAAATTTATCGAGATTCAGCAACTAAGATATAAACTTTTAATTTTACAAATGGGGCTTCATATTTCATTGTTTATTGCAATTATAATATAACAGCTAACTGGCGTCAATTAATGGAAAATTGCTAAAAAAATTTAGATGAATACATCTTAAACTTTTTGTTTGTTAGCAAGTTGGACCCTAATTTTGTTCTTTTGCATTTTGGAGTTAGAATAACTTGAGTGATGATTTTAAGTTGGGTTTGAGTTATAATTTGAGTTGAAGTTATAACTTAAGTTTGTGTTTGGATGTGCACATTTAAGTTATGATTTGAATTGAGAATCTTTTTGAGTTTGTGTTTGGGTGGGTCAAAGCTTAAAGTGAACTCGAGTTTGTTTTTGGGCTGAAATAAGCGTTCGCTTACCCAAACTTGAATTTAAAATTCGAGTAATAACTCAAGTAGGTAAACTTCACCGCCCCCTCAAACTCCCATTACTCGAGTTATTTTCTACAGTGCTCTTCTGACATTTCTCTTCCCGTTGGACTCCTGCTGCCTCACGAGAAAGCTCCGCCTGCTCTGCAAAAAGCTTGCAGATTCCCCTCAATGAGACCAACGATTAATCCACTATGAAATCGCTTGGACCGCTGCACACCATTCCCACAAGCGTGTTCTTCTTGGACCGCTGTGAAATCGCTTCATCCACCAAACTCACCCACGGTGAAGTTGCTCGCAGGTACATCCCATATAAACCCAGCCCAAATCGGCAATATTGGTGAATCCCGATCCCTATATTCCTTTGTTGCCTTCTCCTTCAGTGATTCAACACGGGAGAAATTGATCCCACGCGAGTGAGCCGGCTTCCTCCGTTGGCCGTGCTCCTGCGTCGATGTAGCGCCAAACGCCGTCTCAGACCTCCGAGGCGTGCTCCTAGAAGTAGAGCTTTCTGTTGTCGGTGCCGGTATCCATCTCTTCACCGACGTCCATCACAGTCGCGTTTGGGGGTTGTCGAAGCAGATCAACCATTGTCCTCTTTCGGATCAAACACGGTAAGACCTTTTCTTTGACTGATTTACACTTCCATTTCCTCTGCATATGCCAGTGGATGATTACACTGCTAAATCTGAACATTGTCGTTTTTATTGGATTTCTTTTATTTGGATGTCGTTTACACTGAAGTTTAGCATGTTCATTTTAAATTCATTTCATGAAGTTGTATGATTGCCGTTGCATACTTTTCTATAGTTGTTTGAGTTATTAGAAGCTCTTCATACGCTAGTTTTGATAATTTCACTAAATACAATGGTATGAAGCATGTTTTGTTGTTTGACTACTTAGGCAAATCTGAGATGCAAATTTCCTTCCCGACATACAGTAGTTACTTGCTATAAGACATATGTTTACCAACAACTTACACAGAAACATAACTTTGATGGATGAAAACTAGAATGAAATGTGTTATTAAAGGCCCAGCAATGTGTTATTTTGTGATACATTGATAAAGAAATGTGTTTACTCCTGATGTGACAAGCTTTGGTGAGAGATTTCCTGAGAGATTGTTATCACTAAGACCCAGAAACCTCAGCCTCTTTGATTCTGATATGGACTCTGGAATCTCTCCTATACGGCCTGTGTTGGAGAGATCCAATATGACTAATTTCTCCACCTTTTCCCACTCTAGGCTCATTAAGTCCCCACCAATTGGGTGATTGTCGTTATTTTTAATTTGAAAACCTTTAACATATGCTAATAATACATTTTCTTTCATTCTTCAATTCTCAGAAATCTTGCAGCAGGCAATAAGATTGTTGGCTATTAGATCACGTGCAGTGCTTATTGTGTCACTTCCAAATGTTTGTCCATTTTATTTATATATAATAATACAATAATTAGTTAATTTTATATAACTCGTTTGCCTCCCCTGTTGTCGTATTGGCTGTCCTGTGGCCGTGTTTAGCTTATTGCCTCCCTTGTTGTTGTATTGTCTCTCCTGTTGCCGTTTATACCTAAGCTTATTACTTACCCTGTTGTCGTACTGGAGTTATCTTATCACTATTATTTGTTGAATATGCATATTGCAAGAATTACATGGAACAAGTGTTGTCTTCTGATTTGGTGCCCATAGGGAACGACATTAGGCTTTGTTTGATGTCCTTTACTGTCATAAGCCAAGTTTGTTGCATTGTTTTGTGCCTCTGCCTAAACCCGGTGGATGATTACACTGCCAACTCCACCCATTCGTCGTTTTCATTGTGTCTCCCTTACTTGGATGTCGTTTACACTAAAGTGTACAGCATGTTCATTTTAAATTCTTGAAATGAAGTTGTGTAATGCCTCTGCATAATGTTGTGTAGTTGTTTAAGCTGCCTCACGTCAAATGTTTGCAAGAGTATTTAACATTGGCTTATGTAGGTCCAAAAAATGAAGATAAATCCAATGCAATATCTTGTGTAAGTGGTGAGTTTAGTTGTGTGTAAGTGAACACATAACTCAAGGTTTAAATGTCACATCAATCTCTTACTAAACACTTAACTCAAAATTCACATTACAACTCTAATTAAAAATAACTCAAGTTCACTTTTCTTACTCAAATCATAAAATTGGAGTTAGTGAAGTGAACAGGCCCATAGTATTTTAATAAAAACTCAATGGTGATGAAAAATTTTAATAGGGTATATAAGTGGAGTTTTATTCGTCTTTTCATTGTGAATGCATAGAAAAAAAATCATCCCCATCAGAATTAAAACGACAACGTTATGGCATTTTTAAGAATATAAAAAATAATTTATTAACTTAAGTTCGAGTTTATGAACTCGAGTTGAAAGGGAAACTTGAACTCAAGTTTAAACTCAAATTTTACAAAAGAATATGAACTTGAATAAAGTTGTAATTTGAATTTAAATTTTTTCTAAGTTTTATTACAAAAGTGCAACCCCTTTAAATTTTAATATTTTAGACCTTAGTCGTCATTTATCAATTCACATTTGATACCAATTGGACTGCATTGCCAAATGAAAATTATAAATCCAACGCAAATGACAAAAAGTTTAGAGTGAATGCAGCCTTTTTTTTTTCCTTCTTCGTAGAAGGATTCGTTCCTTGATTCGTGGTTTGCTACAGTATTTTCTCTCACAAAAAATATATGTAAATCGAAAATGGTTCGAATCACATGGTTTAAATCCTCCGACCAAACGTCCTCTGCTGGACCAATGTAGCTCTACCACTGGTTGGAGGCAAATGCTATGCACATCCGTCAGTTTGTTGATTATTTACTCGGTTGAAATTTCATTTCATCTATCAAGAGTCATTTTCTTTTATACACGAGTGATAGTTTTAATTAGTATGAATTTACGTGTCAAATGCATTGTGCCAACATATTGTGTCGTGTCATGTTTATAGGTATGATCGCGCCTTATTATTCTTTGTGTTAGGCTTGTTAGGCTGAACATGTTCGATGCTTATGACATATTCAGTCACGCATAACCAAAATAAGGATGAATTAAAGTGAACATAATTTAAAATTGGTATGATCCAAATTGAGGAATAAAATTCGGAAAAGTTGTTTTCCTAGTTATTAGATTTAAAATAAGACCCCTTCATAACTCAATTTATGTGTTTACTTACACCTAAAAATTGAAATAATTGTTTTAACGTTACTTATATATCCTTTAGTAAATCTTTTTTTAATTTAAAAAATAAAATGTATACTTATTATATAAATGTTAATTATGATCAAAATAACAATTGAAATATCAGTATAATAAAATAATAAATATAAATTATGTGATTATTTTTAAAAATAAAAATAAAAATGTCTAAATTTGAATAAAAATAAATGGGATTTAAAATATTGTGTCAAAAATTAAAACATATCACTAATCACTAATAAAAAAACAAAGTGCATGTTTATTATATTAAAATTAATAATAATCATGTTAATATTATAATATTAGGTAAAAAAAAACCAATGTAGGTTGTAACTATTTTTATTTTTATGTAATTTTAAATTATATATTTATAAATAAATCAAGGGTAAGATAGTGATTTAATTTTACTATCAGGATTGAAAATCCAAATCCAGAGGGTAGGAAGCATATTGTTATTTCTTAATTCTAAATTTGAGTGGATCCATCAATCTTAAATTAGTGTGATTTAAACTTTAACCTTGAAATTTGAGGTTCAAACCTTAAACTTGGTGGGGGTTTAAGTTAGAAATTGTTAGTTTTGGATGGTATAAGTATCCCATAATGGGTTCAAAGCAAACAACATCTTATTCTTTTTTTTTTTTGTTTAACCTTGAAATTTGAGGTTCAAACCTTAAACTTGGTGGGGGTTTAAGTTTGAAATTGTTAGTTTTGGATGGTATAAGTATCCCATCATGGGTTCAAAGCAAACAACATCTTATTCTTTTTTTTTTTTTGTTTTTTTTTTAATTTGAGAAATTTTGACAAATATTTTTAAAAAATGTATGAGTCTTAACCAGACTCATATTTTCAACGTACGTTCAATAATTTTTTTTTTTATGAAATAAACAAGCCTAACAAGCCTAAAAAATTAAAATTAAAAAAAAAAAACTTTAAAAAGGAGAGATCTTTTTTTAATAATAAAAACGACATCGTGTTGAGAGGTGTTAGTTAAAAAAAACAAAAACAAAAAAAATACCAAAAAACAAACAAGAGGAAAGGGTATTTTTTATTATTTTATTTTCAATAGTTTTGAAATTGTGTCTGGTCCTGATTCAGAATGGAAGGGCTGAGATGAGAAGGCAGCGTTTGTCTTCTCCTTATCCTTTTAAGTCTATCAGTATTCACTATCACCCACAACTATATCTCTAACCAGTCCCCCCACTTCTTCTTCTTCTTCTTCTTCTTCTTCTTAATGCTTCGCAGTAACACAGGTTTTGTTCTTTCTTCTTCTGAATAATGATAAGAAGTAGAAAACTAAACGCCCACTAGAAAAAAGAAAACAAGAAAAAAAAAAGTGCTAAAGGAAAAGCCATGTCGTGCTTATTGCCTCAGTTCAATTGCAAACCGGACACATTCTCTGCCCAATTCAACTTCAGAACTCACTCTCTTCCCACCCCCAATTCCCACCTCCGTAAGTCTCTCTCTCCTCTCTCTTTCTCTCTCTACTATTTTTTTTGGTTATTGTTCTTCAACTATTGATAATGGTATTGCCCTTTTACTACTATTGTTATTGTCTTGTGGAGAATTGGATTTGGAATGATTCACACAAAACACTTCTTTCATGGGCGGTTCTTTTTACCCATTTGTTTTTACTTGAGAATACATTTGTTAGTTAAAGAGCTCTTAATGAAAAGAAGGGTTGGCTTATGTTTCTATGTAGTGATGGAAGTCAGAAATAATGCCAAAATCCAAACCCAAATGTAGTTTTCTTCCCTTTTTGTTTCACCCATCTTGTGTTCTGATTTGACTCTTTGGGTTTTATCAATTACTATGACAATTTGTCAATAACAGTCTGAAATATTTGGTCTAACCAAACATATTTGGAGATATATGCATTGCTAAGTCAACTACTATCAACAAAATAGATAGAAACAACCTAACCAATATATGCATATCTCAAATGTTATAACTAAGACAAAATTCTTTTCACTTTGGTCGCGAAAAGGCTGTTATCCGCTTGTCTTTCTGTGTTGTTTGTTGCTTTGAATTAATGGCTCTGTTCGCCGGAAGGCTTTTCTCCTTTAAAATAGGGAATCCCATGTCATCTCCCTTCAAATCAACCTCTCTTTTGACCTGAAATAGCATTAAGATGTTCTATCTTGTATCTGCAATCGCACGTGCAATATGAAGGTTCGCAGGGTATTTAAACATAGAGCTGTCTTCTGTGCGTATTAGACTATGCCGACTGGATCGAATCAAGCGGACGTGTTTTTTGTTCATGATGTGCTAAAGGCATGTAATGTGATAAATCTATTGACGTCATTCTTCCCTTTCTTGCTGTATTTCGTTTAATTATGCAGCAAAAGCTAGAGATATCAATTCCTTGGCACAATGTGTTTTATCCACGACGTCTCCCTCAACGTCTGTAGGAGCAACTTATGTGCTTAGCGTGGAGAAGCTGAGATTCCCGTCTTTGGATGCTAATTCTGAATCGGTGACCTCAAACAGACCTTGGACATATACAGGGGCAACAGGTCCACCTGTAGAGGTAGGACTTGTTGTTTTTAGACGTTTCACTACTGAATTAAGAATTATAGAATGATATGGAACTTCTTAAGAATTGTTTTCTTTTGTCAAATTGATCGAGTAAGCAATCTCTCGAGTTTGAATCCTTAAGTAGCCTTTTGCTTTTTCAGGCCAACTTTGAAGCAACTTTAGCTACAGAAACACTCCTCACAAGTGAAGAGGCTGTAATAGCCGCCGCCGCAGCCGAAGCTGTTACTCTTGCGAAAGCAGCAGTCAAGGTTGCAAAGGATGCGGCTTTACTAGTTAGACCTTCTACCAGAGCAGAAAGTATATCTCTAGTTTCTTCTGAAGCTCGAAATATAAAAACAGCACAAGCTGCTAGTAGAGTACGAGATTCTTTGAGAGCTGAAATGGCTCTGATCGAAGACCATCCTCCGAAAGACGCTGCAAAGGAGTCTAATGATCTACAACCAACGAATGAAGAACTTCGAATACTGCAAGAGCAACTTTCCAAAAGTATAGCTGTAAGATCAAGGCGTCAATCTGAAAGGAAGGCCAAAAGAGACAGAGCAGCCGAGAAGGCTGCTGCGAATGTTGTGGCTGTCAAATCTGGTTCTAACAGCCGAAAAAAGCGTGCTTCTGTACAAGACGTGGATCATTCTGACCCATTGCGTTACTTGAGATCAACAACTAGCACTTCTCGGCTTCTTACTGCTACGGAGGAAATTGAGCTCTCAGAAGGAATACAGGTGTGGCTCAAATTATCAATTATTAACCTTTAGGAAAAAAGCAAAAGAGAGATAGTCGTTGCAAGGAATATATCATCTTCTGAGGATCTTGGAATCACTTTGGTGTTTGCATGCTTGTTGTTCTTTCTTTCATATCCATTCAGAATTTAGTTTCTAGAAAGAATATCATACAAAGTGAAGGCCTTTTGTCACAAGCAGATCTGAAGGATTGCTCATGATGTACCCGAGCAATTTGGAAAAAGGCTAGATTTTCTATTATCATTTAAACACAACTAGCCCTGAATTAACCATGAAATACAAGGTCTTTTGGAGCTGCCATATCACTCGTAATGGGCAAAACATAATACTTGTCTTGAAGTTTCTCAAATAATGCTTTTCTAGCCCTCTATTGAGCATCATTGTTGTCCTCCATTGATTCAAATGTGTTGAAGATTATGTTATCTGAATTTAGTGGTAATGATTTTTGATTATTCACATTATATCCCATATGTGGTTTAGGGGAGGTAAATATTATATCCTAAAGGCGAAATTATGATTTTTACATTTTACTCGGATTATTTTAAAAATAATTACTTGTGGGGGTCAGTTACCAATTCTTGCATTTCATGTTAGCGCCAGAGAAGAACCTTCTAGGTAGGAGCTTGCCTTGTAGCTTTTTAAATGTGATTTTGGTTAGGATTTATCATTGCAGCATGGCTCTTTAATAGATCTGATATGCTATTTTGTAATTGACATTCTTATTGAGAAAAAGTTTATAGTAAACTACTAGAACATAAAAAAAAGGGGGAAATATTGTATTGCACAGTTGATGTAAGCTTGCTTCTGTAGTATTTAGTATTTACTTTGTCTTATTTCTTCTTTTATTTGTTTCATCTTAATCCAATTAAGTATAAGCAAAAAACGATTGGTCTCTTTAAGAAAAATTTTATCTTGACGTCTCTTTAACACCCGCTTAATTCAGGACCTATTGAAGCTGGAAAAGCTCCAGGAGGAGCTTGCCGAACGGTGTGGTGGTCCGCCGACCTTTGCACAATGGGCTGCAGCTGCAGGAGTCGATCAGAAGACTTTGAGGAGGCGCATAAACTATGGTATTCTGTGCAAAGACAAAATGATTAAGAGCAACGTACGACTTGTTATATCGATTGCGAAAAATTATCAGGGAGCTGGGATGAATCTCCAGGATCTAGTTCAGGTATTTGTTAATGAAAAGATTATCGTAAAGGGGAAAAGAAGAATTTTTGTGTTTCTTTCAATTTTATTAAAGCTTCTGACAGTTAAACCTTGCTGCTTAATTTGCAGGAAGGATGTAGAGGTCTTGTAAGGGGTGCGGAGAAGTTTGATGCTTCAAAGGGTTTTAAGTTCTCAACTTACGCGCATTGGTGGATTAAGCAGGCCGTTCGCAAGTCTCTTTCTGATCAGTCCAGGACTATCCGCTTACCAGTCAGTTTTCTTTCCATGTCCTATGAATCTTTTAGGTCTATTTTTTAGTTGCACTTCATGCTAAATTGTGAAAGCTTATGCCAAATTATCAAATGAAGTGTTCATATCTAAAAGCATAACCATATTATTCTTTTAGTAATTGTTCTGTTTTATTTTTTATGTAACAGTTTCACATGGTGGAGGCAACTTATAGAGTTAAAGAGGCTCGAAAGCAGTTGTATAGCGAAAATGGAAGACAACCTAATGATGAAGAGGTTGCGGAGGCGACAGGGCTATCAATGAAGAGGCTGGCTGCCGTATTACTGACTCCAAAAGCTCCTAGATCACTGGAGCAGAAGATTGGCATCAACCAGAATCTTAAACCTTCGGTCTGTCCTATTCTTAAATTTAACTCATCCATTTTTGACAATTTTCTCGCAGTTAATTTTCACCTTCTTTCTGGATCAAGTCTTAGTTGCTAATGGGTTGTGTTATCTCTTTCCCAGGAAATAATTGCAGATCCTGATGCAGAAACGTTAGAGGATGTGCTGACTAGACAATTCATGAAACAGGATTTAGACAAGGTACTGGACAGCCTCAATCAACGGGAGAAGCAAGTCATCCGTTGGAGATTCGGAATGGATGACGGAAGGATGAAGACGTTGCAAGAAATTGGGGAGCTGATGGGAGTGAGTAGAGAGAGAATTAGGCAAATCGAGTCGTGTGCATTCCGGAAATTGAAGAACAAGAAGAGGACCAAACATTTGCAGCAGTATTTGATTTCACAGTAGCCTCCATCAGATATAGCAGCTATATATCATATATTTATCACATATCTATGCCCCAACTTTTCATTTTCTGGTGTAGAAATTTGTTAGTTTTTTTACTATATTAGAGAACACTTGTGCATAGATTCTTTCTTTCTTTGATATCAGGCATTTTCCCATTTTTGATGTACTAAAGGCAAGAACATTCACTAATGGAAATTTCAATTTGTCTGCAAAAAAAGCAACTTCTACTAATCATTTTTGTCCAAATTTAAGAAAGGAAAGAGATGAAAGTGGTTCTGAAACAATGTGCACTGAGTGTTTACTTAAGTGGTTTGTCATCCACAGATCCACTAACCAAAAACTGCTTCTGTGCTCCTGGTAAAAATAAATCCTTTTTTAAGATTAAGCAAACTACAATAAGTTAAGGGGGGCTTTCTTTCTTTTTTTTCATATGTTTACAAAGAAATATATCAAAAAGCTCTCATTTTAAATGCAAAAGTGCTTCCACTTGAAAAGATAATCCGACAGTTTAAAACGCCTTCATTACTACAAAAAGTTGCGTAAAATAAAAGGCGAAGAGGGAGGGCTTAAGAAAATGGAACAAAAGCATCACATTTTTGGTGAAACACATGCCCTTTTAGTTCGTTAATTTGAGTTTTTAATTCGAGTTAAGATATGACTTTATGTGAGAGCTTTTTACTGTAGTAAAAAAGTTAAATGTGACTGCTTCTGAGAGCTTTTAACTGTAATAAAACTCAAATTCTAAACTCAAATCGATAAAATGAACGTGGTGGTTAGATAAAATTAATATAAGTTAAAGAAAACACACTATAATAATTATAATAATGTCCAATATTCACAACAATATCAAAGGAGAAACAAATAAAATTATCAATTTTTACCACCTTATCCAATATCCAAAGGTGCTCCCCATTAGCAAAAATCCATCTTGTTTTTTTGCAGATTAAACACCCTTTTTTTCCTGATATTATTATTATTACTATTATTGTTATTTGGTTATGCATTTATTATTATTTTGAAGAGATGTCCATTTTTTATAATCATATTAATAATAATAATAATTCCCGTAATAATGATTTTTTTATAAATATTTTTAATAACCGTTAGACATGGTGGTACAGTAGTAAAAGACGACTTATTAAAGTTTTTCACTTTACATCTTCATCCACTGTAAGATTGAGATTATGTGCTTTTCGTTTCATATTTGGTTCTAGTAGATTGTCAAATTTTTTTTCTAAGAAAAGTAAAATTTGGATACATTTTTTTTTTAAAAATTTTCTCAATGGTGAGATCTCCTAAAAAAATCCACCAGTGAAGACCCTATTTTAGTAGCCAGATTATTTTTTCAACGGTCAGATTTACAAATTGAGTAATTTTATGTGGCGCGTTGTAAATTTTTAACACGAATATGTACAGATTTAACCATTAAAAACTTAATTTAACGGTCAAAATAGAATATTTCACGGTAAGATTTTTTAAGAGTCTTCGCCCGTTTAGTTCATGGATTAGAACCATAAGATTAAAATTATTTTTAATTTACGTGTGTTTTTTATGAGAGAAAATGCTATAACGAATCATGAACCATTATTCGAATTAGAGAATGAATTCTCCAACGGGCTCATCTTTTTTCTTTCACTGGAAATTTTGGATAACATAAGTTAACTAGTTAAGTGACCAAACATACAAATATATCTGGGACTACCCTTAAATAAAACCTTGTACTGTCCCTAAATAAATAACATTTCACCTTTTTCACTTGATTTCAATTCTTTTGGTCTTTTGGATTGGAGGGATTTTGCCCTTTTAATTTTGGAGGTTTTAGAAAGAGAGAGAGAGAGAGAGAGAGAGAGAGAAAAAAGAAAAAGAGGGAGAGCAGACTGTAGAGAGGAAGGGTTGGATTTTCTCTCTCTCCATTCTCACACTCTAAGCAACTGACCTTCTACATTCTCACAAAATCCGCAAGAAACGAAGAAAAAAAAAAAAAGAGAAAACGAAGTGACATCTTAACCTTTCCCACCACCTTTTCTCCTTCCATTTTTCCCACTAAATTTTCCTCCTTCCCAAACACCCAAAAAAAAAAATGAAAGTAAAGGGCGGAGGCAGAAGGAAGAGCTGGGAAGCACTGTTGCCGGTGAGTACGGAGGAAGAAGAAGAAAATTTCGGCGGAGATTCCAACACCAACACCAACATAAACACGACAAACCCACCCCAAAATGGCCCTCCTCCTTATCTTCTCGCTTTTGAAGACGCCGCTCAGCCAGTAAACGCCGCGGCCGTTGGTGTCATTCAACCGGAACCGGAGGCAGACGCAGAAGAAGACGACGCCGATGCTGACGTCGACGATGAGGCTGATGACGACGCAGACGCAGACGGCAACGCCGAGCGCCCGAAGCTCGACGAGGGCTTCTACGAAATCGAAGCCATTCGCCGTAAAAGAGTTCGCAAGGTACATTATTTTTCTCATAATTTTTCTTTTTTTTTTGAATTTCAGTGTAAGAGAAATGTTGGGTTTTGTTCTATTTTGGTTGTTTTTATCTGATTATAAGTGTGTTTTTTTGGTGGGTTATTGTTGAAAAAATTCCGACAATAGGGTCAGCTTCAGTACCTCATAAAATGGTGCGTGTTATATTGTCATTTATTATTTTTTATCTTATTTTTAAGTATTGTGTTCATGGGTGGTTAACTAATTCCAAGTTTATTTGGATTTGGGTTTTGTGTGTTTGTTTGTTTGCTTGCTTTGAAAGGCGTGGTTGGCCTGAGACAGCCAATACTTGGGAGCCTTTGGAGAATCTGCAGGCTTGTTCTGATTTTATAGAGGCATTTGAAGAGAGGTATGTTATTTTCTACGATCAGGGTTTAGTTTTCTGGGTTTTTTAGTTTAAGGGGTTTTCTTTTATAGCACTTAAGAAAATAAAATCTTTCAAAGATATTACTAGTTTTGATTATTTTCTTGTGTCACTGGCTTCTTGTAGTAATTATAGAAATTATCTACAGTTATGATTGTGTATTTTATAGTTACTTGAGTAGTGACATAAAAGAAAGTAATGCAAACCAGGTAGGTGATATAATATGAAATTAATTTGTTTGACTATGTATGTAAGTTTTGAGTTTTGGTGTTGAAGCTTGCGTTCGGGAAAGCAGCGAAAGCGAAAGCGAAAGAGTGGGATGCCCCATACGCATGTTAAGAAGAGGCAGCAGCGTTCTACTGTGGCTAACAATGCAGGCTTGGAAAACAATGATGTGCACAAACCGCTTTTGTCCCCTTGTACTGACAATTTGGGCCTTGCTGATCATTCTGCAGTCCTGCAATCAGTGTGTTTCTCTGGTCAAGAGGAGTGTAATGGGCTTGTCAACAACAATGAAATGAGCAAGAAAGCCAATGGTGAAAATGGGCTTGTGAATGTTCTCCAAAGAAGTAGCGGAAGGAAAAACCAAAACGAGTACGATCCAAAGCTTAGCGAGCTTAAAACAACATCTACTAGTAATGCAGATAGACTTGCCATTCATTTTCAAGAAGGAAAGGCTACAGAAGGTAATGGTACTATAGAAGGAATCTCCAAGGTTAATTGCGCAGAACCAGTTCAGAACACTCGTACTGGAGCTAAGAGAAGGAAGTCTGGTTCTGTGAAGAGGATTAGGCAAGAGATGCAATTGTGTGAAACTCCTGTTATGCAAAATCTAACAATTGGAACCAACATTGTCTCCGGTGGTAGAGTTGAAATACTGGACGCTGGAAATTTGAATGTTGCAGGGGAGAATCCAAGTTACAAGAATAGGACGAATGAATCCGAAAATGCATCGCGTATCACCAAGATTCTCAAGCCAATTGGCTATTCCGCTACTGTGATAAACAATATCCAGGATGTTTCAGTGACCTTTATGGCCATGAGGTACGCCATTTAACTTTAAATAGTCTGTTTTCTGGGTCGGGATAATGTTCTTCACAGTTTTGATTTGTAAGTTTTCCTTGGAACATATTGGGTTCGTGAGAGCATGACTTTCAAGTCCGGTGCTTGAAGTTGTGCAAGGTACTACTTTTTGTGTGGTTATGTTATCTTCTAAACCTTAGGATCCTAAGCGCACCTTTGTTTTTGTTTTTGTTTTTGTTGTTGTTGTGTGTGTGTGATTTATTTATTTATTTATTTATTCTCTGGGCATATGGATTGGCTTCAGATTGTCACAAGACTAAGCTCATGGCAAGGGACATTATATAGGATTGCCAAATGACTATTTTCTTACATGGGATGTAATCACTAAGACCATCTCCAAGCAAAATGCTAATGCTCTATTTGTCAAAAAGTGTAAAATTTAACATCTATTTTGTGCTTCACTGTACATTGTTATTTTAAATGCTATATTTATTTCTTGCGATAAATTTTGTACTTAGGAATTTGTAAACTAAAATTTTGATTCTTAACTAATTTGAAAATGACATTGTTGTAATTATTAAGTGAAAAAAGTAACAATGATGCAATAAGAATCAAATGCCAAATTTTTGCATATGCGTTAAGTATTTGATGCAAACATCGCAAAGTATAGTGTATGGCACTAAGTGTAGCGTTCTATTGGATAATGGTCTTTTTACGCAAATGCTAAATTTTGACATTGGCATAGAAGTTTTGTGTTGCATTGGACTGTAATTGCTGTTATGAATGTTCAAGATCTATTTTAGCTTTAAAAATTTCTCCCTTTATAATCTCTTCTTTTATTGGGTATCTACTTTTTTGTTTTTGATATTTATGGTAATCTTTAGCATGAGTTTGTAGGTTTTCTCTCATTGATTTACTCAGGAATGCGAGGAACCTATATTACAGAAATAAGTAAACCATCCGGCACCAGGCAACCTTTCCCGAATAAAATTGCTTTGCATTTGCATTTGCATTCAGCATCAATCACATTCATGGAAAGAGAACTTTGTCACTTTGAAATAAATATAGAAAAACCTGTTCTATAGGAGACTACTTACACAATAAGACCTTTCTTTTCCCGTCATTATTATGGTCTAGTTGGACCTCTCATTTAATATTTCTCCAGAGAATTGAACTCAACTGTCTTTGCTTGAGATATGCCTGTCGAACGTATTGTCCCTTTGAAAGTGCGACTCGTTTTCATATTTAAAAAATTTCAGAAGGAGAAATGAATTATATTTGATTGCCAAAGTAAGTGATTCGTAATTGCCACATTTTGCTGCAGCCGTAGTGATCGATCATTAGGGATCCTGAATTCAAGATTTTAGCACACTCCTTTGTCTATGACGTAATTTTGCAATGGTAAAAGAATGTTCATTTTGCCTTTCATGAGACGTTTTGCTTTGTATCATTTCATAGAGTTTCAATAAACTCTCTTACACCAATGGTACTTCATGTTCATGCATTGGGGTTTTAGTTAGTTTTTGGGAAGAGAATGCGTTCGTAATATGCTGAACAAGAGTCGAATATCGTCATGGCTCTCTTCAAATGCATAAATGTTGGTCTCTAATATGTTTCCTTTGTGTAGGGCTGATGGTAGGGAGGTGATGGTGGATAACAAGTTTCTCAAGGCCAACAACCCTCTTCTGGTAATTAAGCTTTCTTATCATGCATTCTCAACTTACTTTTGTAACTTCAATTTGCTAATTTGGAATTAGCTGGTCTATTATTACAATATTCTAATTTCTTTACTCATTTCCAGTTGATCAGCTATTACGAGCAACATCTCCGATACAGTCCTACGTCGTGATTCAATGGAAGATTAAATACCGAGCGTCAGCTTATCTAGATCGTGAACTTTGCTCGCCGTAAGCATTTGGTGTCGTAGTCTTGTAGACTTGTAGATGCAGGAGTATCAATCTGACTGTACCATGAAACTAGGTTATATACCAGCAGTATCAATCTGACTGTACTCTTTTGGTTTCTCCTCGGTATGACTGGAGATTATTATCAGGCCTTTTGGTTCTTAACATGAAATATTTTGGAAGGCCATATTTTATTGCTTCACTAGTTCACACTAGTTAATATGGCATTAATATTTTTTTTACACTCTGTATCTGCCTTCTTTTTGGTACTCATGTTACTTCTTGTAAAGATGTGAAATTACTATAGAGTATTTTGGGGAAATGCAGTTCTTCACCCTCTTCCTTAATGAAAGCTGCTTAATTAGTACAAACCTTCTGGGGGTTTTATTATTTTCATTGATTTTGCAAACTCTTGATGCCTTGAATAAATTATTTCTATAGTCTCAAAAAAAAAAGAGTAAATTATTTCTATCACTTGACGTGATGATTCGATTAGGTATTTTTCTTTCTTTATTGGCTTAATCTCTTTTTAGTTCCTGAATTATTGGTTAAATTTCACTTTAATCCTTACCTTTTAAAATATTATGGTATGTATTAAATTTATGAAATTGACTCAGATTAGTCATTTTGTTTGTGCGACTATTAAAAAACTTGCGTAAAAGTAAGTGAGGACCTTGTGTTATTCAGTGGGCGTTAATTTTGTAATTTTACATCTCATTGCATGAGCCTTGAGAAAGAAGTTGTGCCTTCTTTAGTTGAGATTTTAACATTAAGATGAATAAAAGGATGAATTTGAGACAATATGATAGATAATAGACTTGTTTTAGCACATTGCAAATTAGATTTGACCAATAATTGGGGACAAAAAATGAGTAATCCCTTTCTTTATTCTTTGGTCGGGCTGGTACATATCCGAAATCTTGGACTCATCTCTGAGTAGTTATTTCAATGTTGTCATCACTACCTTTTATTTAAAAGGAAAATATATGTCGTTTTTCTTTAAGGTACCTGGAAAAACAATAAAGTCGTTGTCAATATCAGTCAACTATCGGGTAAACTTGGTTTGTTGTGGATAATGAATTAAACAAATAATTGCATGGCATTTCTTTCAACTAAGATACATACATGTATAGGTGGTTTAAGTAGTATTTAATTATCATCACTCCCAACATTTCAACAAAAATAACTACTGCTAGATTACTACTTTTTTTTTTTTTTTCATATATTGCCGTAATTTTCCTTTATGTATTTATTTTCCTAGTTATATAATAGGATAGACACTTGGTTGGCCGCCAGTTTATATCTGACAAGGAAAAAAAACACAATTTCACAATCACTCACAGTAAGAGACGTTGGCATTGGTCAACTAATCATTAGATTATAATACGATATTAGACTAATCATGATTTTGTAAGATCTTCATTTGCATCTAAGAAACAGCCTCTGCAATATCCAAGTTCCCCCAAAACATTCATAGCAAGGAAGAAGAGGCAATGAGAGAAAGGGTGGGGCCATCACCATTGGTACCTTTCCTAACGGTGGGAACCTTGGGATTGCTCATTTGTTGGCCTCTCTTATTGTCCCTTTGGGAGATTGTAATCCCCATTCTTCAACTGGGATCAGGCCTTGCAATGGTGCTGCTAATTTTAGTCTTGCTCATACACTTGCTCTCTTCCTACTTTCCCACGCTCGGGTCGTCATGCTTTGGCTACGGCTACGCCTCCGCATCCGATGGTGGTGATGGGTTCGGATTCGGGATGATTCTACTATTGCTCTTCTTGGTTCTGTATAACCTGGTCTGATCTCTTGTCATCTGTGTAATCCTCTCCATGGCATGATTATGCTTTTGCACATATGTACGTAGACCCAAATTCCATGTTTTTCCACTTCTTGCTTGGAGTGACTTCTTTTTTAGACAAAACCAAAAGCTTGCCTAGGAAATCGCCTATGTGTCAACCCAAAAGGGAAGTTCTAGATAAGGTCAATCACCTTGTATTATAAGGATATTATTGTCTTGTACAAAAATTGTCCTAAAAGTGGTAGCTGAAATTAGTCCTCATGTGAAATGAACTAGGAGATTCTCATACAATTGATTCCTTCTGTTATTGGCTTAGTCGTTGAGAGTACACTTCATTACATATTTCTCATGCCCTCCCTTTAGCTTGTCAAATTCCATAGCTTTTAGTAATTATGTTTACTGAAGTGTATTCAGAGTTGACGAGATTCAGTGGGAATAAGATGTTTAATATTAAATTTGTAAGTCAAACTCTACTACTCATGCACTATATATTTGCACAAATTTCACACAATTTCAAGCAATATAAAGCTAGAAGATCTATGATAACCTGGTCTATGGAAGTAGACTTCATTACATATTTGATAATACTCATGCCCTCTAACGTATAATCGGAGTGGACAAAATTCGGAGTTGTAATCTCAATAAGTTATCTGGTTTTAAATTTGCAAGTTCAACTCTAGCACTCTTACACCATCTTCGCACAAAAATTCACACTGATTAGAGCAAATATTAAATAAAATTCAGGAGACTAAAAAAATTGCGTACTTTTGAAGGAAATTAAAGCCGAAAACCGGCCTAATTCTTGGGAATGTTCTTGCCGACGATCTTCGCCGGAGCGATCCGGAGCAGATTCCCGGGCTTCCCGGGGACAGCACCCTTGATCATAACCACATTGAGGTCGGTGTCAATCTTGACAATCTTAAGCTTCCTGATCTTAGTCTTCGTCCCTCCCATTCTCCCGGGCATCTTCTTCCCCTTGTAAACCCTCCCGGGCGTCGTCCCGGCCCCGATCGACCCCAAAGCCCTGTGGCTCTTCGACCCGTGCGTCATCGGCCCTCGCCGGAAGTTGTGCCTCTTGATTCCGCCTTGGAAACCCTTGCCGATTGTGATTCCGGCGACGTCGACCAAATCCCCTTCCTTGAAGATCTCTTCGAAAACAAGCTTCTGGTTCGGCTCGAAACCCTCGACCGATTGGAGCCGGAACTCCTGGAGATGGCGCATCGGGATGGCGCCGGCCTTCTGGAGGTGGCCGAACTCGGGCTTCGTCAGCTTCCGGTCGCGGACGCGGCGGTATCCGACCTGAACGGCGTCGTATCCGTCGGTGGCTAGGTTTTTGACCTGCGTGACGATATTACCTTCCTTGAAGCCGACGATGGTGACGGGGACGACCTTGCCGTCGCTCTCGAAGAAGCTCATCATCCCGAGCTTCGTCGCCATGACTCCGATGCCGGCCTCCATGCTCATCGCCACGACGGCTTGTCTCTTCGCCGCCGATGTCGTTTTGAGGCTGTTCTTTGTCGCATTGGGTGAGAGCGAGAGAGGGCTGAGAAACGACGAACGGAGACTGCAATTGAGGCTTGGTTTGCGAGGAAGGTAAGCAATTGAGGATGATATTGACATCGTCGACATTTCGTTTGTCGTTTTTCTTTGTTGTTGTCGTCTAGAGGAGGATTGGGAGGAAATGCTGAGACATTCAGTAGCTGGTTTGGGAGTGGATTAGAAGAAGAGAGCAGAGGGCATAGTAGAGCAGAGTGGAAGAAGAAGAAGAAGAAGAGAGCGGTTGTTTCGCTTTTCCTTATCCAATTGTATGACGATACAGCCCCTTGTCTGTCTGGCTATCTGTTCTCTTTGGGTTTTTGGATTTTGGGCCTTTCTGGAGCCCAATTGTACATTGTCTTGGGCTTTATCATGTGGGCTCATATGTCTATAACTAGCAACTCTTATGTCGCCCCTTTTTTGTTTTCTTTTTTCCCCCCAAAAAAAAATAGGGATTAGTGGTATTTTTACGCCCTCAAGATAATACTCCTTACTATTTCAAAGGACAATGCAAACACGAAAAAGGGAACGATGGACGGATGTGAGAGAGAGAGTCATGAAGAAGTGATTACCTCTTTACTGCTATGCTGCCGCCACTCATGGTCTAAGCGTTTCACTTGCACACTCTTGTCTTTATAATCAAAAGAAAAGGGGATCTTTACACAAATGCACAAAACACAACATAAGTAAATTTCTAGAATCTATCACATTAACAAAGCAAGAGTATCAAAAATCCCCAGTGACTTTTTTTACAACAGGTTATCGTGTGCTAACTTACTGTAACCTGTTCTAATACTGAAGGTAATCCACTGTGATACTAGAAGCATCCGACCACTTCAGTGATGGCTCGGTTTCAATTCTAGCATGTAGTTGGGACTATGAACAATTGAACATTTCAAATTAAAACTTAGCTTTAGAAGGTATATGCGGAATTTTGGAAGGTTTTCGCAATTTTTTCGTAGTCAACGTTTTCCCCTGGAAAAAAAAAAAAGGATAAATGTACAATAAAATACCATGGACAACCGAAGACAAAGATATGATATTCCCATAAAGTTGCAACAGGATTACTATGCACAAACAACAGTAATAATGTACGCCCCTTTGGATCCTATTGCCTCATGTCACTTTCTCATCACTCGTAATATACTTTATATCAGAGGTCCATACAACGTAATGTATCTACCACCTATATAAATACAAACACAGTCAAAGAGTTTGCGGAAGAGCCACACAAACGAGAGGCCAGAGGTCTGCCATCTTTGCTTTAGCTATGAGCAGGGGCCAAAAGAAACTGGTCACTTGGAGCCAACGGTTAGCTCCGGCTTTGTTGCCTTGTTCACAAGCCTTCCCAACTGAATTCCAGTAGCAGATGTGGTTGCAGATGTAGAACCATCATTAGAACTTTGTTGGTCAGCACCTGAACCCGAGCCAGAACCATCTGCAGCCGCTTTCAGCCCCTTCTTTCTCTTCACTTTCTGAGCCCAGCCAACAAGCCCCACTTGCACATGCTCCTCGAATATCGCTTTCTTGAAAGAACTTCCCATCTTCAAGTAATTGAACAGAATTTTTTTCAAAGGTCAGCATTCCCATTTCCTTAATTTTAGAATAAAAGTGAACCAATTTAAACATTTATCTCAACCCACCTGTGTGACAATGGCATAGAGGGGTAGAGTGCTGTAACTACAGAGCACCTGAATGAACACCCTAATAAAGAACAGCATTTCAATGATTAAGACTCGATAGTTTATAGAATTCGTAACAAAGATCTCATAACAAATGAAGAGGCAATTGCTTTTACCCAATTATGAGCCTTGGGATGATATAACAGACTTGTCCCATTATGCAGGAGTCAAATGAATATTGAACCTGCAAATATATAAAGAAGCTGATTGTGTTAATCTCATCAATTAATTCTTTTTCCTTCAAGTATAGGCAGTGCCCATAAAAACCAGCTTACCCATATCCAGAAAAAGAATGCAATCTCAAAAGCATTTTGGAAAAGGATGAAATGAATCAAGAAGAGGACAATTTGGGGATGACCAAACCAAAAGTGTTCATCTGATGGTTGAACTACAAGTTCTCCTTCTATTGCTATGTGTTTCTCAGCAACTTCATGTGCCAACTGGGTAATCACGTGCTCTAGTTTAGTGCCCACAGCAAGTAGAAGCTGCAAGAAAGAAACACAACAATGAATGGTAAGTGATGGACAGAGAGAAAGAGAAGCCAAAAATTTCTTGCTATAGAAATTTCACATTGCATGAGAAATTTATGCACATGATAAGTACTTCTATAAACACACCTGTCTGGGTGTACTTCTACTGAGCTACGGATTATGAAACTCAAGTTATAAGTACATGATTTGTATATATTTACTTCCGCACAATACAAATTACGAAAAAGAAAAACACCTTATAAATATTTACTTATGAATATGTTTGGCTAGTCCACTTGTTTTGCCATGCATTCTTTTTCTTTAATGACGTTAACTTTTTAAATAAAAGAAGGAAGAGCTTGAGCATGCAGCATAACTTCTCCTTTGTCATATATACTCGACAAGAATCACTACCATCTTTAGTGCTCTTGTTTGAAGGAACTTACCGCCTAATAAATGTGAGAACAAAGAGGTTGAAACAAGCGATTCCAACAAGTTATTTGGGAATGATTATTGTTTCTTTTAACAAATTAAGGTAACTTTTGAATCATATTAAAATGTTATTTTCGCTTGTGATATTCCATGTCGTATCTAGATTTAAGCTGTTACTATTTTGTTTGAGATTTAGTTTCCTTCTTTGTCGTTGGCTTGCCTATGAAAAAGACTCTTCATTTTTTTCTGTCTTGGTTATATCACTGATTTTCTTTTCTTCCCTTCTCTCTATTCGCATCTTTCCCTGGTCATCCATCACTATAATACTAGGAGTGTGAAACTGAAAAGTTGAGCTAGCAACACGCAAGAACAAACAAACATGCATACATAAAACAAACTGGAGAGTATAATCCCAAAACAACTCACAATGAAAGGAATGAATGCAATCCAGAAATATGTGTGCCAGCCTGCAAAAGTAAAATATCATCGTTAAGAAAAGCTGAATAAAAAATAACAGAAAATATAGTGCAGAACAAAGAGTTCACACAACAACAATACACGTTCATTTTTCTCCATGCAAATGGGGAAAGTTTTACATGATCCTCTGTGTGCAGATAAATGATAATATGGAGGCTAATCAATATCAATCTTGTAGTAAATGAAGAGACAAGAAGTAATCATCATAACCACATTCTGTTTCTAATCAGATGATTTGAATTGAGATATTTTCACAATGTTTTTTTTAAATCCTCTTTACCAAAAACTCCCAATGAGATAGATAGGCAATAAGGACCTATTAATATGTTTTACAGCAAACAGCAGTTATATGACCAATAAATGTTGTAAATAGAGTTGCCCAAGTAAATGCAAGACAACAATTAATGAAACTTTTTTTTTTTTTTGGCTAATGGAACTTTTCTTTAATCATTTTTTTTTTTTGTGGCTACACTTAACTGTAATTCTAATTCCCTTTTAACTTGAGATACCTAAGAGATCGCACGTCTTTTAAACCAAAGAACCAAGCTTGATTATGCCACGTTGCCAATGCAATAACAACACAGAAATCAAATAAGGAAACGTCCTAAAAGATCGCGCTTGTCATTTGGCCCATGCTGCGTGATCATGAACTGAAGAAAAAATAATCGTACCGTTAACATTTAGCAACAAGAAGATGACCACAAAGACCCAAAGATACCAGCTGCAGCCAAGGAAAATAATTGGTCAATCAAGGAGAATCATAACTGATTATAAACGAACACCAGACACCTTTATAGTTATTTAAAAAAGAAAGAAAGAAAAAAAAAAAGGCCAACTTATATGCAAACAAGATGCAGTAATTTCTAACATCACAAAATTTATTATCGGAAATCACTTGCCTTATACCGACAACTTTCTTAAAATCATCTTCAAGGGCACGTATCATGTATTTGTGAAAATTAAACTTGGGATTTCCTCTGCAGTGGGTCTACAATAACGGAGGGACACTCCAGTTATAGACTGTAAAAGGACTCAAAAAAAAAAGGGAAAAAAGGGACTAATTCTTTATAGGTCAACAGAAAGCTTGTAAATTAGATCTTACCGTAATGAATCCAAGGCGCAGTGTCACATAATCTGATCTTGTCACAGATGCGTAAAATTGCTTGACAAAAGAATGCTGCAGACGAGCACGGGAAATGTCAGAATCATGATTCACTGAACTTGGAACCCAACTGTTATTGTTATGTTTCTGAACTATATCTAAGTTACAAGGTTATAAACTTGCTCGTTTAAAGGTTACTAAGACATTCTTCTTCTTTATTTCTTTTGCACTTTTTCCCCCTGAATATTCAGAATTTAGAAGTGCTTTTAGTTCCCATGTTACGGAGCATAAAATGTGAACCAGAACTGATAGTATAAAATGTGACCAAAGAAATAACGAACAAAACACAAAAGACAATCATCCAATTTTACTTCAGTGAGATTAGTTTTGTTACTTTTGTATATGACCCTTAGAAATATGTACAACAATATTCTTCTAAATGAAAAATAGCTTACCACCCAACCCAGCAGGGCTGAATTTCTACCAATACCCAGAAAATGATCCCTGATAAAAGCATGCTGATGGACGTTGGTGACCTTCCTTGACTTAAGAACTGCACCCAACCAATTCACAAATTAGAATTACGCATGCAAAAACAGCAACATTTACTCAAATTCAAAGCATAATAGAGACAAGGAGCTTTTTGCGTGCCCTATCGGCATGGTAAGTTTTTATAGCCGTCCGTTTCCATTAAATTTTAATGGTCCAATTTATGAATGTTCATGTTAAAAATGGTGCATCATACGTCATAAAAGTACTCCCACTCATAGATCAAGCTATTGAAATTTAATTGAATGGCTAAAAAGACTTGCCACATTGGCAAAAAAATGTGTTCCGCCGTAACATTTTCCTAAAGAAGACAAATAGGAAGTATATTAACCGGTTAAGAATCCTTACCTTGTCCTGAATCATAGTTCTCTTTAGCAATGGAATCCTCCCAGTGCTTCCATTGACGTATCTAATCATAACCAACAGTTTATAAACGAACGAACACAATAAAGAGTACCGCAGAAAAAGTTCCAAAAAAAAAGGGCATATTAGACGCTCACCTGAGCCCCTCCAAACAGAACAGTGAGAACACAAAAGGTCACATGGACGATCGCTAGGACAAAGATAAAGATATGTAGATGATGCAATGCTTCAACAGATAAAAGCGGCACTTTGTTCTGAAGGAAAATAAAGAAATAAATAATTAATGCACATAACTTTTCTCACTCTCAAAAAAAAAAAAAAAAAAAAGAAATGGATGCTTGTAAAAGCTGTATGAATGACATGGGAACTCCCACATTTTAGGAGACAATCTATCTTAAAGACAAGGCTTTATGTCACTTTTTCCACTATTACTATTATCAAGAAAACCACTTCGTCACCATAACCACTAAGACAAAGCAGAATATTTCAGCATAAACAAATACATAAATCTACTGTTAATGATAAGAAAAATATACCTTTAAGACAAGTAGTTTCTAACACTAATATCTAAGACAAAGCGTAAGAGTTTGAGCAAAAATAAATAAACCGATTGTTAATAGTAAGAAAATCTACTTTCAAGACAAGTAGTTTCTACCACTAATATTACCACTGTCAATATTACAACCATCATCAACAACACCCAAAACTGGTAATAGAGAAGAGAAAAAAAAAAAAAAAAAAAAAAAAAAAAAAAAAAAAAAAAAGGAAGTCAACCAGTCAAATCCCTAATTGGAAGAAGAAAACTTTTGTTACTGAGAAAACCCAAAAGCAATTCACTCGTTCTCATCTCACCAAGTAAAATGAAATAAATAAAAACAAATAAGACAAAAAAATCTCGAAAGCAGTGCCAAAACAATCGGAATCTGTAGGAAAAAAAAAATCTATTTTCTAAGCATTTCAATCACAAACGCCACCATCACCATCGCAATTATATCGACAATCGCTTTCAATTAAACAATCCAAGCATTCCGATCAAATGAAAATAAAAATATTCGGAGTTGTAATTTTTCACATTTGAAATTAGCCGATTAAAATGATGATTCAAAGTTCTAATTTTTCCCCTTTGAAATTAGCCGATTAAAATGATAATCCAAAGTTCTAATTTTTTTTCATTTGAAGTTAGTCAGTTGACTATTAAAATGACGATTCAAAGTTGTAATTTTTCTCAGTTGAAATGAAAGTTGTAATTTTTCTCATCTGAAATCACCTTGCGAGCGCAGTAACCGATCTGCTCGCCGGACGCTTCTTCGGCAAGAAGTCTCCTGAAAACGCCGGTAATGGTGGCGACGCCCAAATGGTGGGAAGTACTCGCAGATTCTCCGCCGTGACCTTTCGCCTCCTCGGCTTCCGAGAGCTTACAGGGGAGAAGATTGTCCATCAAGCTCTTGGAAACGCAGAATTTGGAGATGGCGTTTTGGGAGACAGTGAGAAGAAGAGAAATAAAACCCAAAAGCATCAGCTCCTCCTTGACTTTCTGCAAAGCCTCGTAGAGAGGCTTCTGGTTCTTCCTCTTCAGAACCTGCCCCAAGTAGTGCAGAAGCCGCTCCGCTGCCAGAGAGATGGCGACGATGACGGAGCACACGACCGCGACTATCCATGTCGGCGTGTACTCCAACGACGCGCCTTCTTCACTCCCTCCGCCACTCATTTTCCTCTCTCTCTCTCTCTCTCTCTCTCTCTCTAGACTCTCTCTATCTTTCTTTTGTTCTGCTTTTTTTTTTTTGTATTTGGTTCTGACCCTTTTTCTTTCTTTGGTTTTTTCTTTTTTTTTTTCTCTCAGTTGTTTTTTTCTCACCAAATACCAACAGTCGCCACTTTCCTTAAATGGTGGCGTTGTGTGTGGTAGTTTGCCCGCGTAGGATACTGCTGGTGAGTATATTGGTATAGTCCACTTACTTCCTTTTCAACTTCCTTACAAAAAGTGAGGAAAAAAATGAGAAAAAACTTCCTTACAGAATGAGGAAAATCAGCAGAAATGGGGAAAAATACGGGTAGATTATCGGGAGATTTTTTTTTTTTTTTTTTTTTTTTTTTAAGTTTTCTTTCCTTGTCTTTTTAGTTTCAACGCAAGACAAGTCATGGTACACGTACAGTAAACTCATCGGATGTTTTTGTCCGAGTAATAACTCTTTTTTTTTTTTAGGAAAAAAAAAAAAGGGTTTAGACGTACGGTTTCTAGATTGAAGATACAGGGGATATATTCTTTTTTTTTTTTTTTTGAGAAAATACAGAATTGAAATCACTAATTAAAATTCATAAAAAAATCACATATATATATATATATGTAAAACAATAAATAAATAATGTGATACTTTTTTAAAACGCAAAAGGTAAAAAATTTTAGCCCACCTTGTTTTGTTGACATCATGAATAAATAGTGTAACTGTGTAAGTACAATTGAGGAATGAAAAAAAAAAACAGGTTAAGGCAAATTTTTTTATGGATGGAAACTTTGTTAAAAAATTCTTGC